AATGGTATATAAGCTTACCCAATATGTGATATAAAACTTGCGCAACCATAAAAAAAAATTATATATTGTACATCAGCATGGAAGTAACTTCTTTGGGCCAATATTTTGACAGCATTGTTATTCAAAATAAAATCAGTATATCAAATTATATGGTCAAAATGTCCTTTCCGTTACATGGTAAAACCACTCATTCCAAACTATGAACAGTGTTTTTAAATTAACCATCCAACAGAGCTGAATAAAATGTTCAATTAAGCTATTTCTGAGAACAATTGAGTTAACCGTATGCCACATTATCAAGTTTGCCACTTGGAGTCACTATTAAATCAAAGACAGAGTTATGGTCAAGCAGGAAAATCCCACATAATTAGAAAGAAACAGTTTATAGAAAGGAAAATCTAAACAACTACGATGACTGCACATGGTTGTCGCACAAATTGTAATTCTCTTCTTTTGGTCTGTTTTAAGACATAAAACACTGACTGATGGAGAGGTGTTCACTCAGAAAACCTGGGAATAAGGTTGTCAAAGCACTCTGTTAATATCATGCTGCATGTCTATGCAGTGAATGAGTACAGCTAGTCAAGGCATGTCTTTTCCGTTACAAATAATGATACCGGAAAGACTTCTTGTATAGGGATAGACAAAACAAAAGGTATTTTGTTCAAATGAAATTATATTGCATAATCACTTTTATTATGCTTTCTAATGGTATTCACATATTTATTTAGACAACTGGAGTCAAATTAATGACTTTGAATTTTTGTCTTTTCTGTTACCAGTAGCCTACATGTATGTCTTCACTGTATTATGTTAACATGGTTGTTTACATTGTACATGTACATGTAATAAAACCTGAAAAGACATTCTGACAAATTCAGGGTTCCCGCGGCTACGTCAAATATTTTTTCAAGGATATTCAAGGATAAATATACGTCAAATTCAAGGATTTTCAAGGACATTTTTTAGCCTAAAGTTACAATTTTTCATCTTAAAAATAACCAAAACATTACCAACTATCGTTATAATCTCATATTTAAAAGGAATTGAAGACATTTGAAACAAAATTAAGGCTCTCAACTGAAATTCAAGGATATTTTCCTATTTCCGCGAAATTCAAGGATATTCAAGACCTTGAAAATTAAATTTTAAATTTAAGGATATTCAAGGATTTTCAAGGACCGCGGGAACCCTGAAATTTTGGTTTTGTTACATTTTTAAATTGTTAGCCTACACTTCCTCTTGAGTTATGAAAATGTACTGGTCACTGATTTGACTGGAATTACCGTACTGTTGAGACATACATGTACCGGTAATGCAGTTTAAATGTCATTTTTTTTGTGTATTTTGATAAGGAGCTATCATCCTTGATCAGGCCCTACCATTTATTCAAGTGCACTTCAAGTTCAATGATGCACCTGGCTTTTAAAAAAAATCTGATAAGCAAGTAGTATCAGCCACTTCCTATTTTTTTTTCATTTGTTTATTCTTAAAATATTACGAGACAAATTTTCCTCAACGACATTGATCAGAAGTTATATCATTGAGATTTATTGTAACACACAGCTGACCATGATAGGGCCTAACCTAGAAATAGAATGAGGTAAAGCTAATGTCCCCTGCCGCAATCCCAAAATAAATAGATGACACATATTACCGGTAATTAATTGAACATTTATCTTTTTGAAAAGTATCGAGCAATCAAACTGATTCTCTATTCCTGGTCTAAGCAGAAAATGGTCATGATTGAACTCAAAGTTTTGAAGCACCTGGTACTAGTAGTAAAACTATCCACTAAGTTTCACCACTCCATCAGTTACAATGAAAGTTATCTTGTCCCAGAGTATCGACCAATGAAATTGTTTAGCTCTGCTTAGCTTGAGCGGCAAATGTTAATAATTGAACATTCTAACTCAATTCAAAGCAAAGTTGTATGTTCCAAAGTTTTAACCAATGAAATTGCTGCCTAAGCAGAAAATTCTCATCATCGAACTTAGTCAAGGTATTGATATAATGAATCTATACCGGTACTCAAGAGTTTCATCGTTCTCACCCAATTAGAACCAAAGTTATTGTGTTCCAAAGTCTCAACCAATCAAGTTGTTTATCTCTACTTAGCCATAGTGGAAAATGTGCATGATCGAATTCTTTAAAGGTATTCACCTAACAGACACCTTGACCTACACCAAGTTTGAGAGAGAGAAATGGGGTTTAACGTCCACTCGACACAAACTAGGTCATTTCGGGACTAACATGGTTTAATTTTATTTACATAATTCGCTTGCGCGTAGGGGTCTTTAGCAGTGGGAGGAAACCGGAGGACCCGGAGAAAACCCACGAGGTTGGACAGGCGACCCTACTCCTTGCCACGTACAACCGGGGATTCGAAACCACGCCAGTCGACTACACCAAGTTTGAACATTCTTCCTCATTTAGGAGAGTTATTGTGTTCCAAAATCTCAACCAATCAGATTGAATTCTCTACTTTCCTAAGCAGAAAATGCTCATTAGATCATCAAACTTAGCTTTTCAAGGTATTGATCTACCTGTAATGAAACTATACACAAGGTTTTACCACTCTCACTCAATTACAATCAAAGTTATCAAGTTCCAAAGCCTCAACCAATCAAATTGCTTATCACTCTGCTGAGCAGAAAATGTTCATTATCGAACTTAGTCAAGGTACTGATATAATGAATTATGAAACCATACATCAAGTTTCATCCCTTTGAACTCCATCAAGACATTCACCCAATAAACACCAATACCAAGTTTGATTGAACGTTCTAGCTCAATCAGAAGGAGAGTTATTGTGTTCCAAAAGGTGTGACAGATAGACCCATTTTAAATTAATTCCCTGCTTTCTTCGAAATAATATACTCTTCAAAAAAAGTAGGGGATATTCAGAAACAATACAAAACTGTGGAAATGCAGTGCTGTTTTTAATTTTATTAGAGGTAACCAGTGTATGTTAATAACAGGCCAATTGCCGACACACATGAACATAAACAGTTCATATGGGCGGCTTATCTGACAGCCCCATTTCACTCGCAAAGAGATACGCCTTCAAAAGCGAAAATGGACGTTTTTGATTTTTGTCTTAATAATGAGTAATCACCAATCCTTGAGACATTCAGCAATTTGTCCTAATCAACCATCCAATCACGATTTGACGAACACGTCTCCAGATCAAATTAAACGTAACACACTAAGTCAAAGATACGCTAAACAGTAAATCTTATGCAAGAACCAATAGGAAAGCAACCATGGATAGATAAACCAGCATGCGGCAGTTTTCATCAACACTTCCTTGAAGTCTCAAATTTGACAATGAACCCTCCCACGTTTATGGCGCTACTGTGTGTCGCATGTGCAGCTCAATCGTTCTGTTGGGGCGATAAGTTCTTCATCTGTGAACATACTCTCAAAGCATGTCAAGTGTCCATGACTATTTATCATATCACAACCTGCATAGGTATTTGCATTTCAATATCCCCTAGTTTTTTTGAAGAGCATACAGTGTTTGGGAAATGATCCCCAATTCATGTTTTAGGTTGCTTTACGTGTTGCGAGTTTATTTTCATTACACGCCTCGGACTGTACGACAGTGCAGTAGATGGAATTTAATCATTCAGATCATACTAGATTGTTTATTTTTATTGCCATTATTTTATTTTTATAAAGCACAGATTCAGTACCGGATGTGGCATCTCTTCTTAATCATAGTCTCCTAAAATCTAATCTGTAACCTACATGCATTTCTCTCTAATCATTACACAGCATGTGAGCCACCTGTACATTATGTAGTCAATATTCATCAGAATTTATATATGAATAAATTTACATGGTTCATAACACACAAATTTCTCTTTTATTGTGTTTTTTTTCAAATAATTAGGTAGAAACAATATTTTTACACTAAGATCTTGTTCTAAAAAAAATCCTACACATATTCTCTTCCATTTGGCATAACGTACTTGCATTCTGTTCCTTTATAGAGGCCTTCAACTAAGTTTATTGGCATCCTGCCAAGGCCTTCACTATACACTACATGAGTACAACATGTAAGCCTATCTGTCAACTGAATTTGTGTTTGTGTATTCAAGGTTCTATAGTATAAGATAAATAGTTCAACTGTTTATAAACCCATAACTTCAACTTATTTAAATGGAAGCCACCTAACTATAGTATGACCTGATTTTGAAAAAAATCTCTAACACAACATAAAGTTAATCATTCAAATCAATTAAGAGATAACACTCAAAGTGTGCTGTGTAACTAACAGTAGTATCACAGCCTTATGGTTGAATGACTAATAATCACATTCACAGTGAGTTGGTCAATAATCATATAATTAATAAATAATGCTTGAGTCAATGCAATGGTCAGTGAGTTAAGTTTTAAAATAGAAGTCTGTGGGTTAAGCTTATATCTCTAATCTAATAATACTATTTTATTGTTTACTATGTAGCTGACAGAAATGCTGTATCTATTTAATAAAAATGTATATGATTTTGGTCAATCTGAAGTTTGATAGGGGACAAGATAACCTGCTTGGCTCTGGTTAAAAATTGGGTCAACCACAAGCCTTGTGACGTCATGTAGTACATGGTTTTTACCGTACATACATGAACCACTAAGCTGTCATGATTGTAAACCTATTTTTTTTTCTGGACAGTCATAACTGTATACTTATAATTCATATAATTAATGAATATTCGGTGACATATAATATTTGTGATTCATAACAGTCCTGACAGCAGAAATCTGTGATATAAAATTTATCTCTTGCCCAACTTTTTTTCGATCGACCCTGTTTCGTCTTTCTCGGCGTCGTGCCAACAATATCGTGCAGCGATTGGCGTCCAAACGTAAGAAAATGACCCTTATATCGGTGATTATATTTAACTAAATATATCATGAACATACCGTGCTTATATTCAAAATAAGCTGCCATCAAGAAAATTAACCAGAAAGACATATAAACAAGAAATACCTACCTCATTCGCGTTTACTGTTTACCTCTACTCCATTTCGCGCGTAGGCCGAGTTACCCGGATGTTTGATTTTACGCATGCGTTCCTATTGCATAGTAAACAGTGCGCGGTTCAGTCACAACTTGGAATAAAATGTGGATAGTACCGGTACTATTGTTTTCGATAAAGTACAAAATGTCGACGATATTGAATTATGCGATACATATAACAGAACGTGAATTAAGGCATAGCCATAGGTTTTATTATGTCACGCAGATCTAATTATAGTTACTAAGCATTAAGTGTGAAGGGATCACTTACTGCGTGCACAATCGAAAAATGCGGGTATGTCAATATAACCTTAGACTTGTGGATGTCTGTAAAATTTACCGTTTTCTAACACCAAAGGTCGAAGGTCAGGGCACAGCTACCTTTTTTTTTTTAAAGGGAATGAGTAATCGACAAAAAGATGTTTTTAAATATTACAAGCCAACAGTGGTGCTGATGTCCCCCGCCGAAATCCCAAAACAAATAGATGACACATTAATTAAAGCACATTTGTTGTTGTTTTTTTTTCAAAAGTATGGAGCAATCAAACTGATTATCAACTATAGACTATATTATATATAAAGTTTCGTTAGATAGAATCAAAGTTATCATGTAACAAAGCATCGACCAATGAAATTGCTTAGCTCTGCTTAGCTTTAGCTCAAAATGTTAAAGTAGCTAAGTCTCTAACTCTATCATCAAAAATCTTCGACATTGAAAACACGAATTATTTGTCAATTTAAATCAACATTGATGTTCTGATCTTGGGGGAAAAAGGTGGGCTTCTGATATACAATGATTAAGACAAAATAAACATTTTACCTTTGGTACACGAATCGTGTACCATGGTGCATTTCATCGCCATTTTTAACAAGGGACTCGTAGAAAGAGGCTAGATATATTCCACAAGTCATGTCAAACGGCGACGGCATATTCTTATCTGGAGAGCATGCGCAATAAATACTATCGTGGAATAACCAGACGCTAGAGATTGCCATTGGATTGAGACTTCTGGCGTATTTCGCCGAATATAACTGATTAGAAATTGCAGTAAAAACAGAAACGATTGAATGTAAATCAGTTTATATACATTCACATTACATTAGTATATACGTTGCGACCCATTTGTGTCAATTTCTAGATCCAAAATATTAGCGATTTAGCTCCTTTAATCATGTCAGTTGCTAAATGCCGCTCAAAGAAGATAAAATTATTGTGTCCCAATAAAGCATCAACCAATCATATTGCTTATCTCTGCTTATCAAAGCCGAATCACAAAATAGTCCTCTAATTATTCAATATGGCGGCGCCCATAAAAGTTAATTTCACAGAGGCGGTTTTGTTTGCGAAGACAAATTTAGGAGTATCTAACCTTGTTTTGAAAGATAAACAGATTGAAACTCTAAAGACAGTTTACAATGGCAAAGAATGTATTGCAATATTACCCACTAGCACATATTATATATCGCTTTTACCGGATTGGCAGAAGTTGACATTTTCCTAAAGACGTGTTTACATAAAACACGTGCTTGATCGGGTTATTTTTACTGTGTTGTGTACACAAAGCTATAGTCCAATGGATAAGTCCCGCCCCAAAATGATCACGTGAGCGTTTTAAATGGCGGCTAACTAGGGCAGTGATCATAATGACGTATGACGTATATGGATGGCTGCGTGCAGTTTGCTACTTACCCTGAGCAGAAAATGTTCATTATCGAACTTAGTCAAGGTATTGACGTGATAAAACTATACACCAAGTGTCGTCACTCTCACTTAATTAGAACTAAAGTTATTGTGTCCCAATAAAGCATCAACCAATCAAATTGCTTATCTCTGCTTACCCTAAGCAGAAAATTCTCATCTTCGAACTCCATCAAGGCATTCACCTAATAAACACCCACGCCAAGTGTGAACATTTTAACTTAATTAGAATGAGAATTATTGTGTTCCAAATTCTCGACCAATCAAATTGCTTATCGCTCTGCTTACCCTGAGCAGAAAATGCTCATTATCGAACTTAGTCAATGTATTGATGTAATAAAACTATACACCAAATTTCATCTCTCTCACTTAATTAGAACTTAAGTTATCGTGTCCCAACGTATCAACCAATCTTTGCTTATCCTCAGCAGAAAAGGCTCATCTTCGAACTCCAACAAGGCATTGACCTAATAAACACCTACACCAAGTTTGAACGATCTAGCTCAATTAGAAGGAGAATTATTGTGTTCCAAAAAGTGTGACGGACAGACAGACAGACAGACGAGCCCATTTTAATTAATAGTGTCCTGCTTTCTTTGAACGGTGGGGGAAAAATCTCCTTATGATAGACTATATCCTTATTGTGGCGCTTCTTCTTCTGTTTTTGGCCACGGAATGGTGTATAGATCGGGAGCCCAGGGGGCCAACCTAGCTGAAAAGTTTACCAATTTTTTCCTATATGTTATCAATGCATGTATATCTGGTATCATCAGAATGTAAGTCTACCGGGTTTCCGGTGGTTTGTGTCTCAACTAATTCGTTACGCGAGAGCTTTTTCATTTTATTCTGATTTTTTAAGTAGATCGAGGCATTTGTCGTCGAAGCTTCAACTACAGGGATACTTGTGAACTAAACTTATTAAAACCTTTAAAAAGTTTTATGGCCGTCATATTGACTTGATTGGTAAATATAACATGTCTCTCTCGGCTATTATTCTAGATATATTTAATTGACGCGTATACTATCCCTGATAATGTCTGTCTACTACATCGTTAACACTGTTCATCACGTGCATATGCATACCGATAGTCCATTGGCCAATCACGCTATTTTACTGAGATTTCGCCTAATAGTTTGGATGCAGCTATGGCGGGTGTGGCGCCAGGCAGGGTAAGCTTACTCTTCCGGACACCTGTTACCACTGTTTGTCGTGTATTTTGTACACGGTGAACAGTCCATAAGCTGATTACACTATTTTGCCTTATTACACCATTTTGCCTATACCGTTTTTTTAGGACTTCGAATTTTGTCTTATGGTTTGGATTGTTCGTACTTGGTTTTATTTTATTTTATTCCACGCCCAAAATGCCATGCACCCCAACTAGGCTAGATTAGTTCAAAAGTGTACCACATGAAAATCGTACAGCAGTGTACCGTACATCTTCGGGTGTTACAAAAACACTCTAACAGACATTTCTAGTGGTGGGTTACCCCTGACAGAGCTATGTAATTGTCAGACATTTGTAGTGGTAGAGTATCCCTGACAAGAGTTATCTAATTTCCAGTCCACAGCTAGGCTAGATTAGCTGAAATCTGTACCCCCTAAAACAGCTTTGAAGTTGTTCAGTACCACCACAGGAATTACTGTATTAGCTTGATAACGTTGAAAGAATACTCTTCGAGACGTCGCTCAAATAAATAATTAGTAGCTGTTTTTCCATAAGTATATTTTATAGTTTATTCTTAATGTCGTGGTGTCGGGTGAAGATGTCGTAGTGTCGGGTTAAAAATGTCGTGATGTCGGGTTGTCGTGGTGTCGGGCTATAATGTCGTGATGTCGGGTTGTCGTCTTATGAAGGGCGTCACCACGACATGACGACATATGATACCAATCAGCCACCATAATATGCCCGTTTTCATTAGCCCAGTCGGAGTGCCTGTGGGATGTTAAACCCAATTTAATTTCTTTGCATTCATCGTTTCCAAAGGCCTGTAAATATGATGGGGTCACGGTGGCTAAGTGGGTAAGACGCTGGCTCGCTGCCTGGAGGTCGGGTGTTCGATCCCTGCATTGGCCGAGAGAGTTCATCCAGATTTTCCGGCGTGGTTACCCCTTGTCAGTGATGCAGGACGGAGGGCCTGACAAGGACAGCTGTCTAGTCGTTCGGATGGGACGAAAAACCGAGGTCCCGTGTTCACATTGGCGTGCATGTAAAAGATCCCTTGACAGTTGGAATTCGATATAAGAGTAGGCCGTAGTGTCACTGTCCGGGCAAAATTTCCCTCATAGCACATTGTATGGCGTATGCCCGTCTTCATTAGCCCAGTCGGAGCAGAACAGTAGGACGTTAAACCCCATTTCATTTCATTTCTGTAAATATGAGTACCACCCCTTCTACTGACAAGGTCGATCGCGTAAATTATTAATTTCCGTCCTAGTCCGGACTTTTTTCCGTATGCAAATAACCTTCGTCGTAGATCCCATTATAAGGTAATATCCTCTGGCATGATGATGAAGACGACATAAACACTGATGTATGAACTTTCAATCGCAAGTCGCACATAAAAAAACATGGTCGCCATGGTCAAAATGGTTGATATCGTATGTTACTCTCATGTGGTCAACGGAGAGTTAATTCAAGGTTATTTTCAAGTAAATCTGTGATGTCCGCAATTGTTAATTCCAGAACTAATGACCTCGTTTTGTTGCAATCATGTACACACAAATGATGTGATCTCGATTATAAGCCTTGTCTCCGTGTCCTCGGTACTTTCTATGTGTGCACGCACACGCGTGTCGTTGTTGTAATGTGTGTGTCCTACATTCTATGAAAAATGACATACATGTACCTAAAATAAACAGATACAGAACTTAAATTTGCAATTTCATGATCAGCTGAAATGGGATAACCCCACAATAACTCTGATTCTGCTCTCTCGGCAATATTTAACCGGCCCTCGGTATTGGTGGGGGATACAGCTGTCATGGTTTTACACCTTTTACATGTAATGATGTGTGTGTGTGCGCGCGCATTGGAAGTTATTAGGGGACCTTCATTAGAAAACACAGCTTTTACCTGCTGTCATGGTTTTACACCTTTTACATGCAATGATATGTGTGTGTGTGTGTGTGTGGGGGGCCTTCTGTTTTGCGGTCCATTGTATAATAAGTATTAAATTAAACCCCAACAGGTTATTTTTCCAGCTTTTGAGGATTTGTAAAAGACTCGGAATCCACCTTTTAAATATCTACCCATGTTCTAGTTCTAATCTCACTGATCTTCATCATAGTTCCAAAAATATGTAATTTTTCGGTTAGAGCTCTGGGATGAAAAACACCTCGCTAGTCATCGACTATGTTTGTAGGTATTCGTGAATTGTGTGACAAATTACGGTTATCGGGGGTGGTTTGGGCAGTCAGCACAGGTCGATGGTTAACAAATTGAGGGTCTTGAGCAAATCTACATGTACATCGATGTAAAACCTAGTCACACCAATGAGATTTTTAGGTACACAACTCATGACAACATGTTATTCCTCTTTGGTTATGAAATCTGGTTAGCTTTTTCCTGAAATTCCAATTCAACCTTCATTATGGTGGAATGGTGATATATCTAAACGGTTTTTAAAATCAGAAAAAAATTGTGACCTCTAGAGAATCCATTTTTCGACCAATCAGGGGCCATAATCTTTTAAGAAACAATAGTAGTATAACCTATAGAGCCACCTCAAAGAACAATTCTTGTCCGATTCTGCTGTTTGTCCTCATTGCCCGAATGCAGAAGACGATTCATATCACTATTTTTTTACCTGTCCATATTATAATCAAATTAGAATACATATGTTCGAAATTATTAGTAAAATTATAAATGATCAAAATATTACTTTAAAAATTATTTTACAGGGAGATGAAAGCTTATCAGTAGAATCAAATATACAATTAACTAAAGCTGTTCACCTTTTTATCAAACTAAGTCACAGATTTTAATTTCAAAATCAGTGCAAAATACACTTCCACATAACCCCTGTATATATGTTCTTTAAATCTAATGTTTGTACATTCTTTAAAGATATTTTGTAAATAACATACCTCTATTTATTATACATTTGTATCTATGGAAAGAGCTGATATAGGCTTCAAGCCTGTTGCTCAATCCCATTCGTTTGTGAATAAAATATTGTTTAAATCAAAATAATCTTTTCATACTATTTGCGTACAAAGGCCATTATGTCCGTTAGTTTTTGTCTGATTTTCACGAAATTCAAACTCAACCATCATTTGTGTACATGTATAACACGTTTTTTTTTATAATCGGATAGTTACGATCTGATATGCGCGAATATCGACAGGAACCAAGATCTTTTTGGTTATAAACATGCATTTCAAGTTTCATCAAAATCGGATCAAAATTGTGACCTCTAGGAGGTCCACAACCTTGATATACCAGATGTTTACACTATTTCCGTACAAGGGGCGGCCATTTTGTCCGACAGAAATTCGAACTCAACCATCATTAGGGTATAACGGTGACATAATAAACCGTTTTTCAAATCGGATAAAAAATTTGACTTCTAGAGGGATCACAAGCTAAAAGTGCGACTTTTCGTGCAATCAGGGGCCATAATTCAGGAAGTTAAGATCCGATATGCGCAAATATCGAAAGGAAACAATATATTTGGGTTATAAACATGCATATCAAGTTTCATCAAAATCGGATGAAAATTGTGACCTCTAAAGGGTTTACAACCTTGATATACCATATTTTACACTATTTGCATACAAAGGGCAGCCATTTTGTCTGGCAGTTTTGGTCCAATTTTCACGAAATTCGAACTCAACCATCATTAGGGTGGAACGGTGATATATTAAAACGTTTTTTTTTTAAATCGGATAAAAATTGTGACCACAAGCTATAACGCGATTTTTCGTACAACCAGGGGCCATAATTCAGGAAGTTAATTCAGGATGCGAGAATATCGAAAGGAAATGCTTTTCAAATTTCATCATAATCGGATCAAAATTGTGACCTCTACGTGATTTTTCATACAATCAGGGGCCATAAATCAAAAAGTTATGGTCCGATACATGCCAATATCGAAAGGAAACAAGATCTTTGGGGGATGATCAATATATTTCAAGTTTCGTCAAAATTGGATAAAAATTGTGACCTGTAGAGTGTCCACAAACAAATTGTGGACGGACGGACAGGGGCGACGACAATAATATACGTCCACATGAAAATGTGGGGGTATAAAAATAAATGTGCGATTAATTAATATGTGTCATCTATTTAATTTGGGATTTTGGCGGGGGACATTAGCCTCACTGTTGGCTTGTTTTTTAATTGAACATGTCCACGGAGTGTCAACTTTCTTTTGCCCGGTAGTTTATATATAACTTCAATTTTATGATCCAATCTTTCTAAATCCAAATCGGTTATCTATCCTATTGAAATGAAGAACCATAATGAGTTACGTTGACTTTCAAAGTTATTCCCTTTTGATAAAACTAAGAGGCTTTAATTCTGATACAATCTTTTCTAAATTTGTAGCTCATAGCTGTTTCAACGACTTACCTGCTGGTGGGTATGTTTCAATGTCTGGCAAACCATGTTTGTTAATATTAGTATAAGATACGTTGCCAGGCAACAAAACATACGCCCACAGCAGCTAAATCGTCCGAGCAGTCGACAAGGGTTGTCGCATATTTATTTTTTTGTAGGTAATTAGGGGAATTTAATAGACAATTTCATACAGATGACATTATAATTTTCGTTGTTTGAGGGTTCACAAGGTTCTAAAATCTACAGAAATTGTTGAAATTCAACAGGCTTTTTCGTTTTACTAATTCAAATAATGCATATAAATTTCATACAGATCGGATGATAACTTTTGTCGTTCGAACGTTCACAAGGTTCAACAAAGTAAAACAAGGGCCATAACTCTAGAAGTAATTGACAGAAATTGCTGACATTCAATAGGATTCTTCATTTCACTAATTTAAATGATGCATATGAATTTCATACAGATTAAGTGATAACTTTTGTCGTTCAAGCGTTCACAAGATTCAACAAAGCTAAACAAGGGCCATAACTCTAGATGTAATCAACAGAAATTTGCTGAAACTCAATAGGCTTGTTTGTTTTTCTAATTTAAACGATACATATAAATTTCATACAGATCGGATAATAACTTTTGTCGTTAGAGCATTCACAAGATACAACAAAGTGAATCAAGGGCCATAACTCACGGCATAATTAATGGAAATTGCTGAAATTCAATAGGCTTCTTCGTTGCACTAATTTAAATGATACATATCAATTTCAAACAGATCGGATGATAACTGATGTCAGTATAGAGTGTTCACAAGATTCAACAAAGTGAAACAAGGGCCATAACTCTAGATGTAATTAACAGAAATTACTGAAATTCAATAGACTTCTTTGTTTTACTAATTTAAATGATGCATATAAATTTCATACAGATCGGATAATAACTTTTGTCGCTAGAGCATTCACAAGGTACAACAAAGTGAAACAATGGCCATAACTCCCGGCATAATTAATGGAAATTGCTGAAATTAAATAGGCTTCTTCATCTCACTAATGCAAACAACATATATCAATTTCAAAATAATCAAATGATAAATGTAGTCTGTAGAGTGTTCACAATAAATTGTGGACAATGGACGGACCAACAGACGAATGGACGGGGGCGACGACAATATACGACCATATTTCCATGTGGGCGTATAAAAATGGCAAGTGCAAATTCAACTAATTTCTGATATTTTGTCAGATACAACTAATATTTCCATGTTAAATATTTGACATGGAATCATTTTCTAGCATATATGAAAACGTTGGATAAAAACATCCTGAAGAAAATAATCCCCATCTTCATATTAGAAAAGGAGGTTAATGAGTCAACCAGGTGAGCCATGATGATACACCTGAATGTCACAGTCAAGTGCAATACACTGAATTAACTGTACTTGCTTAAACGACTGATCAATTATAAAAACAAATGCATTTACAGGTAATTATTGTAAGAATTTTTATCATCATTTTATTTATTTAAATACATTTATTTAAAACAAAAATATTTGTTTAACATTTCCATAATGTAATTCATGTTTTGATGACATACCCCTCGTGTTTTTTTTAGCCAGAAATGCATCTTCTATAAATCACAAACACTTCCTTGCCCATTGTGTATTTGACATGATTCATTACATACATAGATAGGTCAAGATGGACTTAAATCAAAATCTTAAAATGGTCAATTATTATATTGATAAATGCTACTTTTCACTCAAAGCGAATTACACAACCAGTAAATCCTAGTTGAGGGTATTCATACTTATCATGGTATAAAATATACTGGCAGATCAAAAATCTCAACAAATTTAAGTTTATATATCAGTGAATATCTGAATCAATCTACATAATAAAAGGTTACAAAATTTTGGTAATTAGCATAACCTTGAAGAAAATATTATATTAAGATGATGTATAAGACAGTTCATAAAGATATTTTTCAAATTCACAGTAAAATATGTTACAAATCACCAACTGATGAAGAAATAAAATGAAAAAAATAATAAATAATTAGCAGAGCCAATATTGCACCCTATGCCAATAGTTGTTAAAACTTTAAGAACAGTCTTCATTCACTGTAAAAAAAACAAAAAACAAAGGGAAAAATTATAATTTTATATACATATATTATTAAATATGTAATATGAATAGTACCTGTTAGTCTGGTCTATAGGAAATACTAATTATCTCATAACAAGGTACTAATTTGATGGTTATATCTTTATTGTCGTCGCCTCTCTCCCTCTGTTGACATTTGATTTGTGCACACTCTACAGGTTACAAATTTTATCTGATTTTGACAAAACTTGAAATATAGGTTTATATCCCAAAATTCTCGGTTCCTTTCAATATTGACATGTATGGCCCCTGATTGTATGAACAAGCAGTTGCCATGCAAGATACGCCCACATTTTGCAAGAGTTGGACAGAGAACAAGCTCAAAATAAGAAGTGATTTTCATACAATCAAGGGCCATAATTCAGGAAGTTACGATCCAATATGCGCGAATATCGAAAGGAACCAAGATCTTTGGGTTATAAATATGTATTTCAATTTTCATCAAAATCTGATCAAAATTGTGGCCTCTAGAGGATCCACAACCTTGATATCTATATATATATTTGTGACTGTCGTTTGTCTGTCTGTCTGTTCGGCTACACTAGGTCTGCCCCGAGTCTGAAATTTGGGGTATAGGGGTAGCTCGGACCGGGGAGTAACATAGGCCAGGTGGCGTTAGTCTACCACTTCCGGTTTCGGAGTTATGACCCCCAAGCGAAGCCGGTCTGTTCGGGGTTGGCGGCTACACTAGGTCTGCCCCCGAGTCTGAAATTTGGGGTATAGGGGTAGCTCGGACCGTCGAGTAACATAGGCCAGGTGGCGTTAGTCTACCACTTCTGGTTTCGGAGTTATGACCCCCCAAGCGAAGTCTGTCTGCTCGGGGTTGGCGGCTACATCTGCCCCGAGTCTGAAATTTGGGGTATAGGGGTAGCTCGGACCGGGGAGTAACATAGACCAGGTGGCGTTAGTCTACCACTTCCGGTTTCGGGGTTATGACCCCTGAGCGAAGGCGGGTATCCTGCTAGTACCATATATTTACACTATTTTTTGTCCGAAGTTCTGGTCCGATTTCCACAAAATTCGAACTCAGCCATCATAATGGTGTAACGGATATATATTCTGACATTTTTTTAAATCGGTTAATAATTGTGACCTTTAGAGGGACCACAAGCTAAAAACACGATTTTTCGTACAATCAGGGGCCATAATTCAGGAAGTTACGATCCGATAGGCGCGAATATCGAAAGCAACCAAGATCTTTGGGTTATAATCATGCATTTCAAGTTTCATCAAATTCGAATTAAAATTGTGACCTCTACAGGGTCCACAACCTTGATATACCATATTTTTACGCTATTTGACTACGAGGCGTGGCCATTTTGTCTGTCAGTTTTGGTTCGATTTTTACGAAATTCGAACTCAACAATCCTTAGGGTATAACGGTGATATATTCAAATGTTTGTTTTTTTAAATCGGATAAGAATTATGACCACTATAGGGTCCACAAGCTAAAAACGCGATTTTTCATACAATCAGGGGCCATGATTCAGGAAGTTAGATTCGATATGCACGAATATCGAAAGGAACAAAGATCTTTGGGTTATAAACTTCCATTTCAAGTTCCATCAAAATCAGAAGGAAATTGTGACCTCTAGAGGGTCCACAACCTTGATATACCATATTTTTACGTTATTTGAGAATGAAGGGCGGCCATTTTGTCTGTCAGTTTTGGGCTGATTTTCACGAAAATCGAATTCAAACAGCCTTAGGGTATAACAGTGATATATTAAAACGTTTCTGTAAATCGGATAAAAATTATGACCTCTATAGGGTCCACAAGCTAAAAACGCGATTTTTTGTACAATCAGGGGCCATAATTCTGGAAGTTATGGTCCGAAATGCGCAAATATTGAAAGGAACAAAGATCTGTGGGTTATAAACATATATTTCAAGTTTAAACCAAATCGGATAAAAATTGTGACCTCTACAGTGTTCACAAGCTAAAAACGTGATTTTTCGTACAATCAAGGGCTAAATCCATGAAGTTACAGTCCGATACATGGCAATATCGAAAAGAACCGAGATTTTAGGGTGATAAACTTATATTTCGGATAAAAATTTTGACCTCTAGAGTGTTTACAAACAATTGTGGACGGATGGACTGGCTCGACGACAATATACATCCACATGAAAATGTGGGCGTATGAAAATTTCTAAAAGCATACTAAGTGTTTTCGACTAAAATCGTCGATGTAGGAATGAAAATGTCGGTTAATTAGGTTAGGGCCTGTTCACAGGCAGAGCTAGCTGTAGACAGGCAGCCTAAGTTTGGGATGAGGTAAAATACGTCCCCTTTTTTACGTGATCTGATTGGTCGAGACAATCACGTGACACCTAAAGCGAGGGTATATAAGGCCCCCAGGCTTTCCATTGGCATTCACCCATTGGCGCTTGCCTGGTAAGAGTCAAAGAGCACTAACTTCTCCCTCCCCAATTCTTAGAACCTCGTCTTAAAGGGCACATTCCATGATTATTTTAAAGTAAAGTAAATTTTCGACAAATAACATAAAGATAGGTTGCCAGGCAACGAAACATACGCCCACAGCAGCTATATCGTCCGGGCAGTCAACAATAGTTGTCGCATATTTTTACTTTTTTCGGTAATGAAATATTTATAATACATTAAGATCTGATTAAGAGTAACAACTCATAATTATCAGAAAACCATTAGAATTTGTTTGGTTTTTATAAAGTTCTGACCTATGCTAACGTTTAGTATACGAAACTTTTAACATCATGGATTTAGTTGTTTCATTGAAAATCAATATACTTGTTCGTCTCAAGACCTTAAAATCTGTGTATCAATCTGAAGTCAATCGGATGATAACTTTAGCCTCTAGAGCTCACAAGATTTTTCAAAGTGATCAAGGGCCATAACTCTGGCAGCAATTGTCCGAAATTGTTGAAAATCAATATGATTCTTTATCTGATGGCCTCAAACACTGTGTATAAATTTAAAGTCAATCGGATATTAACTTTAGTCTCTAGAGCGTCCACAAGATTTTTCAAAGTGATCAAGGGCCATAACTCTGGCAGTAATTATCGGAAATCGCTGAAAATCAATAGGCTTCTTCGTCTCATGACCTTAAACACTGTGTATAAATTTAAAGTCAATCGGATATTAACTTTAGCCTCTAGAGTGTCTACAAGATTTTTCAAAGTGATCACGGGCCATAACTCTGGAAGTATTTATTGGAAATCGCTGAAAATCAATAGGCTTCTTCGTCTCATGACCTTAAACACTGTGTATAAAATTAAAGTCAATCGGATATTAACTTTGACCTCTAGAGCGTCCACAAGATTTTTTGAAGTGATCAAGGGCCATAACTTAGGCAGTAATTATCGAAAATCGTTGAAAATCAATAGGCTCCTTGTCTCATGACCTTAAACACTATGTATAAATTAAAAGTCAATCGGATATTAACTATGACCTGTAAAGCGTCCACAAGATTTTTTGAAGTGATCAAGGGCCATAACTCTGGCAGTAATTATCGGAAATCGCTGAATATCAATAGGCTTCTTCGTCTCATGGCCTTTAACACTGTGTATACATTTAAAGTCAATCGGATATTAACTTTAGCCTCTTTGTCAAGGAATAAGATTGCTATTTCCTTGACAGCTAGACCCTGTTGCTGCAAAAGCTTCTATTTCTCGTCCCACGTTTTCTTTTCAGCAGGAATTTCATACTTAGCGATATTACTACATCCTTGGAAGGTACCAGAAGATTGGGATTCGATCAAGTCCTGGGGATTGGCTGTCACTTGCCAAATTTTTTTTTATTATTAATTTTGATTCCTCTCCACAAGTTTTTAACACCGTACCAAAGGAATCAACTATTAGCACACACCCCTATCAGTAAACCAGCTATGCTGTAAAATATAAGAGATAGAGAGAAATGGGGTTTAACGTCCACTCGACACAAACTAGGTCATTTTGGGACTAACATATGGTTCAATTTTATTTCCATAATTCGCTTGCGCGTAGGGGTCTTTAGCTGTGGGAGGAAACCGGAGGACCCGGGGAAAACCCACGAGGTTGGACAGGCGACCCTACTCCTTGTCACGTACAACCGGGGAATCGAAACCCCGCCAGTTGACTCAATGACAGACTGTATGATACAGCGCGCGCGTGCTAACCATTCCGCCATCCAACCCCCCTGTAAAATATAAAATCAATCAGATAATAACTATGGTCTCTAAAGCATCAACAAGATTTTTCAAAGTGATCAAGGGCCATAACTGTGGCAGTAATTATCAGAAATAGGCTTCTTCTTCTCATGAACTTAAACACTGTGTATTAATTATCGAAAATCAATAGGCTTCTTCGTCTCATGACCTTAAACACTGTGTATGAATTTAAAGTCAATCGGATATATTAACATTAGCCTCTCGAGCGTCCACAAGCAACGGACGGACGGATGGGGGCGACAACAATATACAACCACATTTCAATGTGGGCGTATAAAAAAAGTACATTCTTGGACTGTAATGGCAGTTTAATTAAATCTTTGACCATGGAGATTTCTGTACCATAGGCTTGATTGGTAGGTTCTGGAGTTGACCAATTACAATCTGTGCGTTACTTTACAAAATGCGTCCTACGCCAAGATGAAGTGGAATAAACCACAGAAAAATAAAACCAATGAAATGTTTGTATACATTAAATTAGACTGCTAACGATGTGACCTGGAAATACGAATCCGGGAAAGAGACTGTTTTCTTGCGATCCACATGTGGTAACAAATCTATTCAAATTAACGTGAATGTTTTAGGCCATCGAATTTGGGCACCGAGCAATTCACGCTTTGTTCCCCGACCGCCACCCTCCACAAACATGGTATCAAATTAACCCATCAGCATGACTCTGTGAACGTTTAAGCTATCCTATTTGGGCCTCTGGCGAAGCCAGGTATCCTGCTATAAGTGATAAATTTGATTTTGACTCAAGAGGAGTACAATGCTCTGAGAACAATATATCCTCATATATCCGAAAACACAGTTTCTCACTCTAAATCTAAAAGACATAACATAACTTTGCCTTTCTTTTCATTAAATTCATTGGTCAATTTAATGGTGACAGATTTTTATTGTTTAATGTTTGGCTGTCAAAATTCCAGTATAAAATCAGGATGGTCACCATTTAGCTGTAAAAATCGTTCTTTTATTATTTTAAGAAGTACTGCTTACCTTTTATCAAGCTTTTTGAGATTTTGGAGGCTTTCGTAAATGATGATAATTAGGGAGAATTTTTGACAAGAAATCTATCTGTAAACCTTGTGCCTATAAATCAAAAAATGCATTACCACATTGTGAAAAATAAATTAACCAGTAATATCATCAGCCAGGCCATCAACAATGGGTGAAGATGGGTAAAAAAACAAAAGTCGTCTTACAAGGTTTATATAAATAAAGAATATAACTCAAATCTATATTTCAATAGCTCAACAATTCCTGAAATTTTAATGGGTTCAAGATTATGATAAAATATGCATAAACAGACCACTCAAAACTACAACATTAAAATGAAAGTGTATAACATTGTTTGAGCATTTTTACCATGGCTTTAATGTTTACTACAATCAACTATTCAAACTTTATTCTACTTCAATCTTTGATCTTAAATGTGTAGTTGTGATCAAGCTAAGAAATCTCGGTTTGTATGAGTAATAGTGAAAGAAACAATTATACTTTACATGTACTTACTGGAGGTTTATCTCTTTGAAACCTTCTTTCACAATTAGAACCATATATAACAGTATTTTCTGCTAATTTTTCATTACAAGATACATTACACATAGCTCCAATAATACAACCAGATGTCAGTTCGACATTAGACCCCACTTGAGCTAAAATATAAAATGGAGTGATGCCAGGTTAAACAATTTGCATTCAATGCAGAAATTTTATCATCCATGTTTTTCATGAAATGAGTGAAGGTAAGTGCATGTAAGAGCAATAATTAGGCATTTAGATAATTGTACCTTGAACTGTTTTTAGTAATTTAAGTTTGTATTTTAGCAGTATTCTTTGATGTTGTTTTCTATTATTTTGGGGGAGCAAGTGATTACATAAGTATGCTAATATATAGATAGAACTCAATGTCAATGACCATTGAATACCGCTAGGGTTATTCAATGGTTCACAAGAATGTATCCCTGCACAAGTTTTCCATGAGCTATGGCGGCTGGGATACAATATGTTTTTATTCTATAACTACATGCAAATCTCAAAATAAGAACAAATTCAATGGTTTTTGAGTTCTGTAGACACTGTACTATCCAGATTATCAAAACAATCATCACCAATAACGTCCAAATTAATCATAGTGTCATATAGTTACTATTACATATACATGTAGTTCTTTCCAACAATATTGGAGTTCATTCCCTTTTGTTCATTCCTTTTGTTATGAGTTATTTCCCTTTCTTAAATAAATGACCTAAGATGGAGTCATATTGGTACCAGTCAGTCATTATCACATATGTGATAGAACTCGTTAAACACATTCCAAATATCATTTTAATACAGAGATCATTGCTACGACAGATACGTAATGAAGCTTTCTACAAAAGGAAGTGACAATACAAAAGGAAAACACGAGTTATCCTTCTATATAACTGACTGAAGTGACGAGTGATAACAGATACATAGGCCAATTTCTGCTCACTAACAAATCCGTTGGAGACCAAAAGATGTTATGTGAGACTGTGAAGGGTATCTGACAATTAAAAAAAAAAGTAATTGTAAGGGGAAAGCATTTAGTCCAACGAATATTTGGTAAAAAGTTGGAGCTGGGCAAAGAGACCAGATTGAACATTAAATTCTACTAGCAAATATTCTAAGTGATTGTTCAAATGGCAATTGAATATATTCCTTGTATTGGATGCTTTCATAGATGTCTACACTAACTAAAATCTTTCAAATCATATACTTTCCTTACTTTTTAAATATCAGTTGATTTCATTGACTCAACAATATTAATCATTTGACTTGACAGCAATATCAATTAATTGCACATTTATCTTTTTCAAAAATATTGCGCAATTAAATTGATTATCTATACTTAGTCTAAGCATAAAATGTTCACGATTAAACACAGTCAAGATTTTGAAGTACCTGGTCCCAAAGCATCGACCAATGAAATTGCTTAGCTCTGCTTAGCTTTAGCTCTAAAAATGTTAATCATTGAACTTAGTCAAGACATTCACCTAATGAACATCTACATCAAGTTTAAACATTCTACCTCAATTAAAAGCAGAGTTGTTATGTTCCAAAGTCATGACCAATCAAATTACTTATTGCCACTTAGCTTAAGCAGAAAATTCTCATCATCGAACTTAGTCAAGGTATTGGTAAAATGAATCTATACTCAGAGTTTCATCAGTCTCATTTAATTAGAACCAAAGTTATTGTGTTCCAAAGTCTCAACCAATCCAATTGCTTATCTCTGCTTAGCCTTACTGGAAAATGCGCATGATCAATCTCTGTCAGGGCATTCACCTAATAGACACCTACACCACGTTGGAACATTCTACCTCAATTAGAAGGAGAGTTATTGTGTTCCAATGTCTCTACCAATCAGATTGAAGAGTCTACTTTGCCTAAACAGAAATGCTTAGCATCGAACGTTGTTAAGGTATTGATGTAATGAAACTATACACAAAGTTTTACCACTACCACACAATTAGAATCAAAGTTGTCGAGCTCCAAAGTGACAACCAATCAAATTGTTTATAGCTCCGCTTACCCTGAGCAGAAAATGTTCATTATCGAACTTAGTTAAGGTATTGATATAACGAATTATGAAACCATACACCAAGTTTCATCACTTCGAACTCCATCAAGATTCAAGGTATTCACCTAATAAACACCAGACACCAAGTTTGAACATTCTAGCTCAATTAGAAGGAGAGTTATTGTGTCCCAAAAAGTGTGACGGACAGACAGAACCATTTTAATAGTCCCATGCTTTTCTTGAAAGGCGGGGCACAAAAACAGTCTAATAAAATTTCAGAATGCAATAATTACTTGCGTAACAGTCCCTGTTGAGAAAATTTAAAAATAATTGTGGCACCTACCCCGAGATTCAACTATATTATTGTCTCCAATTTTTAAACATTCTACCTCTAAGCATTATTAAAGGAAATAATATCTATATTGTGATCAAGCAATAAAGCATTCAAGAAAATTGTCACCATAACTTCTGGCAATATCTGTCAAAATATTTAAAATCATTTGGCTTAGAGGCAATCATATACATGTACCTCAAACTAAAAAGGATACCGGCACCAACTTCAAATACATTATTATTTCCTATAATCAGAACTTGTGCTTTTTGTGAACTGTCTGTGTTCCTGAAATTTACAAAACAGAATCTAAACAATCTATTAAAATTCAAGCCTTGTGAAGACAAAATAACAAGTATCCTTAGACTGTTTATTTATCTTTATCAAGTAGGCCTAAGAGCAAATTTAGCAATTATAACTTTCAACAAAAGACTAATATATCAACCTTAGATTCACCTAAATATTACAAATATCATACACCCATTTTTAGGTACTAGTTTATTTATTCTTTTCTAAGTAATAACCTGTTTTTAATTGTGACAAGTTCTTCTATTATATTAAAATCTCCTATTACAATTGGACCAGCTTCAGCAATTATTCTAGCTTTTGGATGAACCACAGTTCTTGATCCTAAAATAAAGAAAAATTACATTTAAATTCTGTGTTTGCGCATAGGGGTCTTTAGCAGTGGGAAGAAACCTGCTCAGGACCTGGAGAAAAACCACAAGGCTGGGAGGGCAACTAAACTGATTGTCATGTTCAAGCTTTTATTGGGATCGAATTACCATGCCACTAGGCTCAATGACAGACCTAATGATCTAAAAGGCTTGGCGTTATGGCTTTGGGCCGATATGAACACATTGTATCCTGTAGTATAAAGCGACTTGATGAACCAGGTTAAACATACAGTATTCCATGTATGAGAATACTACCAGTGTAGACTTGAATAACCAGACACCAAAGACTGCCATTCGATTCAGACACTTCGTGTATTTCGTCGAACATACTGATTAGAAATTAAAGTAAAAACATAAACGATTGATTGTAAATCATACATTCATATTACATTATTATATGCGTTGCGAACCGTTTGTGTCCATTTCTAGGTGCCAAAGAATACCAATTTAGCTCCTTTAAGATGCTGCATTTGCTGGCATATTTCTTGTTCAAAAATGTAATTTTCTCAGCTACGACTGAAATAGCTGTAATATTTGTAGCCGTGACAATTCTTATTCACGGCTACAATTGGTACACTATTCGAGGCTTTGAGCAAGTAAAATTAGGTTCAGTTGCAAAATTTTCAACACATATCATCACAGACCATGAATCCATGACCACTCGGACCAAAGACCGCTCGGACCAAAGAAAAAGACTACTCGGACCAAAGAAAAAGACCACTCGGACCAAGTGGTTTAATATATAATATAATGACTACTCAAAAAATAATAAAGTGTTGTTTTAATAAATTGATAATTGTGTTTGTTTTAATATGACTAATAATAAAGTGTTGTTTTAATAAGCGACAGACAAGATCAATACAAGGAAAGCTGTATATATTGTGGAAATTATATAACGAGGAGGCCATCAGCACCAACCAGCTCCTGAAGAAGAAATGACAATGTGGTTCAATATATGGCCCAAGTGACTAGGTTATATTGGAACCATTCTCTACGACTGAAGCGGTTCTGTCAAAATCAATCATAAATCTTAGGCCTTTTATTTTTATTATCTATTTATACTAATATTTGTGACTGTCGTTTGTCTGTCTGCCTGTCTGTTTGTCTGTCTGTTCAGGGTTGGCGGCTACACTAGGTCTGCCCCAAGTCTGAAATTTGGGGCATTGGGGTTGCTCGGACCGGGGAGTAACAGTTAATAATAATAATAATATATATGATTATCTTACCAATTGTTATTTCTCCTACTAAAGTACATTCTTCACAAACAATGGCATCTGGCGCTATCTTAATACTATAAAGAAAAGAAATGTAAATTCAGCTGAACATGTTATAATTTACCACATGTATATCTACAATGTACAAACTATCACAAATTCGTATTATTTGGAAAATTCAATACCTTCCTCTGTCGTGTCTTGCGGAGACGGCCATTTTAATTTCTGGAATTGATCACATGACAAGGTTGGATCCTGACTGATGTGGTTTTTGCGTCTTTTATTAAGTGATTATTTATCGAATCTATTGAAATTTTGCGTAATAAAAATATTGCATATCACTGCATAGTTGATTTTTAAGAAAAAAACACCCGAAGTGCATTGACAATGTTCTGAAATTACTGAAAAAAGTCACGTGACCGCGTGCTATAAAAAGCTTTGACGTCGCAATATCCCACTTCAATAGCTAAGAGAAGTGAGAGTCGACGAGGAGGAGGAGATGTTAAAAGCCGCGGACGCTATAGTTATTGACGAACAGTTCGGTCCGTTACCATTTGAAAGAATGCCTGCGTTAGAAAGTACCAATATGTAAGCATAATAAATATAATAAACGGCCCAAAATGTCAACAATTTGACAATCATAACAAGGTTTCATTTGTCAATAAATTGTTCAATCCAAAATGGCGACTGCCACAGTACTGATGCGTAATGGATTTTATTTATTTTGATCCGAATCGCCCGTCTTGACTACTTTTTCAGAACTTATTAGTAGGCCTAAAAAATGTTTTTTTGTTTTTGAAAAGTAATCTTTTATCGACTTTCTTTCTTTTTTATTACCGGTATCTAGATTTTCGGTAAAAAAAAAAAAAAAAAATGGAACTACCTAAGCCAAGACAAAATTAAAAGTTCTATTATCCTATGCCATCTATCATTCTATGGCAAAGATTGTCACTAGTTATGCTCATTAAATTGTAATAGTCCCTTTTAGATCCTGACGTTGACAAATTAATTATCGAATATTAAATGAATAGTTTTACTTTTCAGGAGACCCAGTAATCGGTGCTGTATAACGATCGGCCCAGACCCAGTGCAGTGCTCCTGATGTTCCCCATGCCGTCAACATGTCATTCGTGGCAGAGGGCAGCGGCGTGGGGGTTTTAAAAGCGCCCCCTGTCAATGGTGATGGTTTGTTTATTGATAACAGAACAACTTTTGCCAAATCATCAGTAACTAATCTGAGCTTCAAAATTCGTCTTGTGGAATCGTATGAAGTGGCCTGGGAAACCATTCTCATAGATAACAAATTGTACGTTGAACTGCCAAATGGTATTTTGCCTGAAGGCTCCAAAGAAAGGTTAGTTTCAAATAGGACAATGTCTTAGTTTAGTATATACCTAAATTTAATGTTGATGTATATATCCATTTTTATACAACCACATGGAAATGTGGATGTATATTGCGTCCGTCCAATTGTTTTAAAATTGATGTATGTTGTTTACATTATCGAGATGAAGAATCCTTTATTATGTCTAGAGTTACAGGCTTACAGCCCTTGTTTCACTTTGTTGAACCTTGTGAACGCTCTAATGCCAAAAGGGTATCCAGAACACTAGGACCAAAGACCACTCGGACCAAGACCAGTCGAACCAAAAAAAGACTACTCGGACCAAACCAAAAGACCACTCGGACCAATATTTATCTTTTCTACTCGGACCAACCCAAAGGACCACTCGGACCAATTAAGTAATATTATAACTTATATTAAGGCTAAACTTAATCATTTTAAAACTGTGATTTAATAGCAGACTTGATTATCAAGCCTATAGTTTACTTTCATGTTGAAAGAGGTCACAGCCTTTCATTTCACAGTTCCACACGTCATGATGAATGAAACAAATCAAATGATTGTTGCTACCGGATAGTAAATTTAAGTTTATTGAAATGTAAGATATTTTAATCTATGTTTTGTAAGACCTTAAACGCCAGTTTCATTTCATTTATATGCACAATATTTTCTGTTATTTTTGGAGAATGTGAAGGGTCATTATAATCTTCAGATTTCTATGCGAATTGAATTTCGAGATATGTTGTCAGTACTATAAAGTAGACCTGCATATAATCAAGATTATTACAAGTGAATATTTATTTATTACAGAATGATTTTTTTCTTGCTATACACGAAGTATAAACATTAAATCTTTCAAAAGTTAAAATTGTAATGTGAACAGTCAATCAATATTGAATACATATTTTAACTTTTAAACCTGTCCCAAATGGCTGTAGAAGACACTTACAGACCTTAAAAGTTCAAGGAATTTGGGGTGGGGTAGTGTACGTGTGTTTTAATATTTATTGGGCCCACGAGTTAATGTTAGGACCTACAATTTTCATGAATGGTGTCTACCAGCGGGTCCTGTTGGCTTACAACTTTTCTTGCCGGATTTTGAACATTGCATGTATCGAACCGTAACTTCATGGATTATGGCCCCTGATTGTACGAAAAATCATGTTTTATCCGATATAAAAAAACGTTTTAGTATATCACCGTTACACCCTAAGGATGATTGAGTTCGAATTTCGTGAAAATCGCCCAAAACTGACAGACAAAATGGCTGCCCCTTGTTCTCAAATAGCCTAAAAAATATGGTATATCAAGGTTGTGGACCCTCTTAGAGGTCACAATTTTCTTCTGATTTTGATGAAACTTGATATGTAAGTTTATAACACAAAGATCTTGGTTCGCGCGTAATGGATCACAACTTCCTGAATTATGGCCCTTGAATGTACAAAAAATCATGTTTTTAGCTTGCCGTCCATGTAGAGGTCACAATTTTTATCCGATTTAAAAAAACATGTAAATACATGTATATCACCATTACACACTAAGATCTTGGTTCCTTTTGATAATCGCATATATCCGAAGGTAATTTCCTGGATTATTGCTCCCGATTGTTCGAAAATCGCATTTTTAGCTTGCAGATTCTCTCGAGGTCACAATTTTTTTTCTGATTTTAAAAAAACGTATAAATATTTCACCATTCCACCATAATGGAGGTTGAATTTGAATTTCGGGAAAATCGAAATAAAACGGCCCGACAAAATGGCCACTCTTATCCGATTCTGATTAAATTAAAACATATCTTATATCCCAAAGATCAGTCCCTTTTGATATTGAATTATGGCTCCTGATTGTTCGAAAAAACGCATTTTTAGCTTGCTGATTCTCTAGAGGTCACAATTTTTTTTCTGATTTTAAAAACTGTTTAAATATTTCACCATTTCACCATAATGAAGGTTGAATTCGAATTTTTGGAAAATCGAAATGAAACGGCCCATTAAAATGGCCGCTCTTATCCGATTCTGATGAAACTTAAAACATAACTTTATATCCCAAAGATCAGTCCCTTTTGGTATTTGCACATTTCTTACCATAACTTTCTGGATTATTGCCCCTGATTGTATAAAAAATCTTGTTTGTTTTTAGCTTGTTCTCTATCCATCTCGTGCAAAATTTGGGCGTATCCTGCCTGGCAGCTGCTGGTTAGCTTGTGGATTCTCTGGAGGTCACAATTTTTTTTCCGATTTTAAAAACTGTTTGAATATATCACCATTCCACCATAATGATGGTTGAATTCAAATTTCGGGAAAATTGAAATGAAACTGCCCAACAGAATAGCCGCTCTTTGTACGCTAATTGTGTAAAAGTATGTAATACAAAGGCTGTGGTCCCTCTAGCGGTCACAATTTTTTATCCGATTTTGATGAAACTTAAAACATATCTTTATATTCCAAAGATCTCGTCCCTTTTGATGTTTGCGCATTTCAGACCATAACTTTCTGGATTATTACCCCAAATTGTACAAAAAATCGCATTTGTTTTTAGCTTGTTCTCTATTCATCTCTTGCAAATTAATGTGGGCGTATCCTGCCTGGCAGCCGCTGGTTTGATATCAAAAAATATCAACACAAGTCAATAAAGTAAAAAAAAAAAGACTTTATCGACGAGTGTTGATATTTGTTGATATCAAATTCAAAAAAGACGAGTAGGAGATTTTATTTATCACCCAATCCTTTCTTACATGCACAAATAAATATAATTCTTTGCTATAGACTTCACTTTAATAGTGAACCTGATTACATTATGGCGTAATGATACATCATTTTTTGACAGCAATTCAACCATTGCAAAGTCCTTTATATTGACCCAGTGTTTCCATCAAGGTCAATTAAATAAAAATAATTCATTTTTATACGCCCACATTGAAATGTGGTCGTATATTGTCGTCCGTCCGGCGTCCACAATTGCTTGTGGACGCTCTAGAGGCTAAAGTTAATATCCGATTGACTTTAAATTTATATATAGTGTTTATGGCCATGAAACGAAGAAGCTATTGATTTTCAGTGATTTCCGATAATTACTGCCAGAGTTATGGCCCTTGATCACTTCAAATTATATACAGTGTTTATGGCCATGAAACGAAGAAGCTATTGATTTTCAGTGATTTCCGATAATTACTGCCAGAGTTATGGCCCTTGATCACTTCAAAAAATCTTGTGGACGCTCTAGAGGCTAAAGTTAATATCCAATTGACGTTAAATTTATACTGCCAGAGTTATGGCCCTTGATCACTTCAAAAAATCTTGTGGACGCTCTAAAGGATAAAGTTAATATCCGATTGGCTTTAAATTTATACACAGTGTTAAAGGTCATGAGACGAAGAAGCCTATTGATTTTCAGCGATTTCCGATAATTACTGCCAAAGTTATGGCCCTTGAACACTTCAAAAATTCTTGTGGACGCTCTACAGGCCAAAGTTAATGTCAGATTGACTTCAAATTTATACAGTGTTTAAGGTCATGAGACGAAGAAGCCTATTGATTTTCAGTGATTTCCTATAATTACTCCCAGAGTTATGGCCCTTGATCACTTAAAAAAATCTTGTGGACGCCCCTACAGGTCAAAGTTAATATCTGATAGAATTTAAATTTATACAGTGTTTAAGGTCATGAGACGATGAAGCCTATTGATTTTCAACGATTTCAGATAATTACTGCCAGAGTTATGGCCCTTGATCACTTTGAAAAATCTTGTGGATGCTCTAGAGGCTAAAGTTAATATCCGATTGACTTTAAATTTATATTTATACACAGTGTTTAAGGTCATGAAACAAAGAAGTCTATTCATTTTCAGCATTTTCGATAATTACTGCCAGAGTTATGGCCCTTGATCACTTCAAAAAATCTTGTGGGCGCTCTAAAGGCCAAAGTTAAAATACGATTGACTTTAAATTTATACACAGTGTTTAAAGTCATGAGACGAAGAAGCCTATTGATTTTCAGCGATTTCAGATAATTACTGCCCCAGTTATGGCCCTTGATCACTTTCAAAAATCTTGTGGACGCTATAAAGGCTAAAGTCAATATCCGATTGACTTTAAATTTATACACAGTGTTTAAGGTCATGAGACAAAGAAGTCTATTCATTTTCAGTGATTTTCGATAATTACTGCCAGAGTTATGGCCAAAGTTAATATCCGATTGACTTTAAATTGATACAGTGTTTAAGGTCTTGAGACGAACAAGTATGTCGATTTTCAATGAATCTTTATGACTTGAACAGCTGAATCCATGATGTTAAAAGTTTTGTATACTAAAAAGTCGATTCATTTTCAGTGATTTTCGATAATTACTGTCACAGTTATGGCCCTTGATCACTTTGAAAAATCTTGTGACACTCTAGAGGCTAAAGTTATCATCCGATTGACTTCAGATTGATACATAGAGTTTAAGAGCTTGAGATGAACAAGTATATTGATTTTCAATGAATTTTTATGACTTGAACAGCTAAATCCATGATATTAAAAATCAAACAAATTCTAATGGTTTTCTGATAATTACTTTATGAGTGTATTATAAATGTTTCATTACCGAAAGAAGTAAAAATATGCGACAACACTTTTGTTGACTGCCCAGACGATTTAGCTGCTGTGGGCGTATGTTTTGTTGCCTGGCAACCTATCTTTATTTTTAATAAGAAAAATAAACTTTTTAACTGACCAGGAGATATCACAGTAGATTATGAAATTTATCACACAAGCGATATCTCTGTAGAATGTATTATGGGGTGATAAATACATTTGTTGTTGGCCTTAGTTTCCATATTGTTTTCTTACTTCCAGCTTGATTACACTTCTTGAATATGCAGAAGAACAACTAAAGTGCTCTAATGTAATTTTATGTTTCAAGAAGAACAGAAATGATCGAGGTGAGAAATGAAACAAGTACAAAATATTGATGCCATTTAATGAGAATAAGACTTGAACTTTCTTGGTTTATTGTATTTCCTGATATAAGCTTATTTAGACATACCAGTAATTAATGTAAAGCAAATTGGGTCCTTTCCACAGGTCACAATTTTTATCCGATTTTGACAACTTGAAATATAGGATTATATTCCAAAGATCTTGGGTCCTTTCAATTGTGGTATATATCGGACTGTAACTTAATGGATTATGGCTCCTGATTGTACTAAAAAAAATCTCATTTCTAGCTTGTTGACCCTCTGACCCTCTAGAGGTCACAATATTTATCCAATTTTCGTGGAAGTTAAAATGTATGTTTACAACCCAAAGATCTCAGTTCCTTTTGATATTGGTGGATATCAGACCGTAACTTCCTGGATTATGTTCCCTGATTGTACAAAAAATTGCTTCTTTTTTTTAGCTTGTTCTATGTCCATCTCTTGCAAAATGTGGGTGTATTTTGCATGTCAAGTTTTTTTTTGTGCACAAACATGCCCCCCCTCCCCCTATACTCTCAAATTTAGTATGTGGCAAGTATTACTCCTATGTTTTAAATTTGTGTATAAGCAAATAATTTACTTTTCCATGGCAAGTTTTGGGGGTTTTTTTGTGCACAAACATGACACCCCCCCCCCCCTCTCAAATTTAGTATGTGGCAAATCTTACTCCCTATGTTTTAAATTTGGGTATAAGAAAATAATTTACTGATTGTGTTTCTTTTCAGCTAATTTGATTAGAGTCTTCAGTTTCTTTGGTTTCCAGACAATACCGCCAGGTGATGAAATGGTTCCACAAGTTGAAGATTTGATGTTTATGGTTTATGTAATTGATACTGATGATTTCTAGGTTATCAGTTCACAAATAATTTCCCTTGAATTTTACACTATCTTCCTTTTCTTTCTCAAATTAACACAATGTAAACTTTAGACTCTTTCATGATTGTTAAATTATTTGGAATTTGATAAATCTTTATGAACAAATTTGTTGTATCTAAATTTTGAGCAAAAGCATTTCTATCTTATACACTTTTATTCAGTGAAAGCAAATCTTGTAATTTGTTTTTTGAAAACGAACAATATTTTGAGAACAAAATATTATATGGAGGGGATGTGTGTGTCTTATGTACTTGGTACTTTAATCTATACATTCTTAATTAATAATAATATATCTCTCTGCCACGTCTGTACATGTGTTACCAGCAAAAAAATGTTTTAAGAAAAATGAAAAAAAAAATAGAAAAATATTAGAAATTTAACAAAAAAAAAATGCATGTTTTAACAGTGTTGTATAAATAATCTTAATTTGCAGTGTAACATAAAAGCTATTTTTCAATTTTAATTTCTAAGATGATCAAAAATATGTTCATATTGTTTTTAATTTTCGTTTTGAACACTAATATTCATTTAGTTTTACCTGCAGAATTTCTTCAATTATATTTATGTAGGCTTATGTCATTTCATATTGAAACATTTTGGTTACCACTGCTCAAATGCACATTTCACTTGTGAAATGTGTATTTAATATTTATAAAGCACATTCATTTATTTCATTAGCTTGGATATATATATATCTTAGGGCTGGTACATATAGTTATATTGTGTTGTAATCAAATATAATAAATTAGATTTTTTAAATCAATGTGAATTTATTTTCATTGATATGTGGTTGTAACATTTTTGTTGTAACGCCTCTCCATTCATCATCTGTACATTTGTACACATTTGTTTAAAATTACCAAGACTGCATTTGAAGTAGTTGAAATTATCGTTTAAAGCAACTGGTGAACTTCTTCTCCAATCTGATTAAAATACAGATCTATCTTTTGTTTTTTTTATACTTTTGATGGCCTCGACTACATGTAGTGGAAGGTTACGTCAGAAGTCATACAAGTGACTTTTGACCCTATGATGTCAGGCATTTGATTAACCAATCGGCGTTGGATGTTTCTAGTGGGTTACCCACAGTTCTGTGCACCTCACGCCAAAAACTTACTGTAACGGACCATTTCATTGGCAAATCCCTCACATCATCCAGGACGCGGGTTACATAACAACTCTTCATAATCCTAGTGTAGTAAAAGACAAGTAAAATGAGTTCGTCTGTCTGTCCATCACACTTTTTGGGACACAATAACTCTTTCTAATTGAGCTACAATGTTCAAACTTGGTGTAGGTGTTTTATTAAGTCAATGCCTTGATGGAGTTCGTAGATGAGCATTTTCGGCTTAGGGTAAGCAGAGATAAGCAATTTGATTGGTTGATGCTTTGGGACACGATAACTTTAGTTCTAATTAAGTGAGTGATGAAACTTGGTGTATAGTTTCATTACATCAATACCATCGACTAAGTTCGATAATGAGCATTTTCTGCTCAGGGTAAGCAGAGCGATAAGCAATTTGATTGGTCGAGACCTTGGAACACAATAACTCTCCTAATTGAGCTAGAATCTTCAAACTTGGTAGGTGTTTATTAGGTCAATGCCTTGATGGAGTTCGAAGATGAGCATTTTCTGCTTGGGGTAAGCGGCGATAAACAATTTGATTGGCTGATGCTTTTGGACACGATAACTATTGTTCTAATTAAGAAGAGTGATGAAACTTGGTGTATAGTTTCATTACATCAACACCATGACTAAGTTAGATAATGAGCATTTTCTGCTCATGGTAAGCAGAGCGATAAGCAATTTAATTGGTCGAGACTTTGGAACACAATAACTCTCATTTTAATTGAGTTAGATATTGGCATGTATCGGATCGAAACTTCATGGATTATGGCCCCTGATTGTACGGAAAATCACGTTTTGAGCTTGTGGACCCTATAGATGTCACATTTTGATGAAACTTGAAATGTAAGTTTATAACCCAAAGATTTTGGTACCTTTCAATTTCGCGCATATCGGATCGTAACTTCCTGAATTATGGCTCCTGATTGTACGAAAAATCACGTTTTTAGCTTGTGGACCCTATATAGGTCATAATTTTTATCCGAGTTAAAAAAACGTTTTAGTATATCACCGTTTATACACCCTAACGATGGTTGAGTTTGAATTTCGTGAAAATCGGCCCAAAACTGACAGACAAAATGGTCGCCCCTCGTTCTCAAATAGCATAAAAATATGGTATGTCAAGGTTGTGGACCCTCTAGAGGTCACAATTTTCTTCTGATTTTGATGAAACTTAAAATGTAAGTTTATAACCCAAAGATCTCGGTTCCTTTTGATATTCGTGCATATCAGATCGTAACTTCCTGAATTATGGCCCCTGATTGTACGAAAAATCACTTTTTGTTTAGCTTGTTCTCTATCCATCTCTTGCAAAATGTGGGCGTATTCTGCCTGGCAGCCACTGGTTATTTTTCTTTTACTATACAGTTGTAAAGTACAAGACAAGATACAAGTTTGAAAATTTGTAATTTCATTTTTAATACTAATACATAAAAAACAACATATTATACAGGATTTTGATTATTCAAAAAAAAACAACATGTTTTCAAAATAACATCTCAGTAGTCTGGCATAGTAGTCAATCAAAAAGAATGTTTTGGGACCTTGATAGGTGGTTGCAAAAGTGCCTGATAGATTTAATAATCGTCATTTTTGCAATTCCTGCAGGTTTTTTTTCTTCATACCCGTGGAAATATGATTTATTATGCCACATATTATAATGGAGTTAGGGTCAAGTTAATGAACAGTACTGTTTGAAGTGTAAGGAGAGGGTTCTTTACTTGGATACCACACAGTCCACATCAACAAGCTGAATTGTTTTCAAAATGTTACTTTTGCTGAAAACATGATTAATTAAGATATAGAATATAGACATATTTGTTTCAAAAAACTGAAAACAGATTTTCTGATTGCGTAGCTCTGTGAGGAATCAAAATGCAATGCTCAATAGAGTATAAATTAAAGGCAATATGATAGTTATGACTTTAAATTATTATTACAAAAGTCACATTGCCAATGTTTTATCATATTCACTTGTTGACAAACCATTTTTTACTACCATATAAAACATTAAAAAAATTTCAAACTACTTAATCTTAAAAATTCATTGTATTATGTATGTACACTACATATAATAAATAAAATTAAAAATCCTGTAGATGATTTCTAACTGAAAATAAAAGGCAACTAAAATTGTTAAATAAAGAGGTAAAATATGAACATATTTTGTCCAATATCACAATATAAACTAAAAAGCATGGTGTCTTGTATAAGACAAAATCAATTTAACTATAGACTAGATAACTAGCAATAATACTTTCTGTATAAAATTTCTTTGCATTGTACATGTAACACTGTCACTGGGTGGGAATGTATTTAAAACACATACATGTAGTTATAACAAGTAGTAATGAGCACATATGTAAATATGATAACATAGTTAAACATTAAACAATTTTATAGTAGTGGATTCAGACTTTATTATTCATTACTTCTAAATTTCAAAGTAGATAGTACTCCTGAAGGTGTAAGAACCACAAAGAAAGAATGCCAATTCAATCAAGTTTGAATCCATAACTCAGGGTTCTTATTATAAAACATTCAACCTCTAAAAGCCCTTAAAAGAATTATATTTATTTATCAATCAAAAATGAACATTCATACATAATTCATGTCACTAATATCAGAAAAATATTCAAACATGCATTCATAATATCAGATATTTATTACATATCTTTCTTTTGTTCCATTTCTTCTCCTTCAAATAAAGTTTTAATCTCTTGAAGTGATTCAAACAGTTGGTCCATAAAGCGGGCTGCGTTTGTTCCATTACAGCATTTTTTAGATGAGACATGGAAGAAGAATTTATTATTCCCTGGTAACATATAAGAGACACCATATCCATTATCTGATACAGGACCAAATCCTCCTCCTGGTGATAACTGAACAATGAAAACATGAAATGACATTATATAACACAGCAACATTTCAGTCTTTAAATAAAAGAAAGTTGAGTCTCTGATAGTCATTCGAGGGATTTTTAATCTCATGCAAACCACAATAATGTTAAAGTTAGTTCTCTAAAAGAAATGTTAGTCCAAAATGGTTCAATTTTGTCCCCAACCTAAAAGCAAATGTGGGCAGTGCCTCAGTAAAACATCTGATGAACAGTTCCACTGTTAGTGGATCTTATTTGTTTTGTCCCTTCAAAATAGGCAACACTCTACAACTTGTAAGCTCTGCATTCTCTATCCCTTAATTGGGATGCTGAACATTTCAATGTAAAATATTTGACTACCTTGTTGGAATATTGAGGTAAACTACAATCTGGAGCCCATGAGATCTGTGTTTGTGGTTGTTGACTAGTAGATAATGTCCATGGCATCATTAATGCTTTCTTCAAAAATTCACAATCCTGTCAATAATATACATCAAATTGTGTACAAAAATCAGTAATTTAAAAGACATCACGTTCATAGTTGCAAAACATGAAAGGGCACTGTTGGTAGATCTGACTACTTTTTTCATTTATCTTTTCATTTGTTTTTCTTTCTCTTTTAACCCCTTTCATGTGGATTATGGGTTAGGGTTAGTGCCCATTAATTTGGGATTGAAAAATGAGTGCTTCGCCTATTTCAGACCTGAACATGGGGCCGCCTAAAAATGTAGTCAGATCAGCCAACAATATCCCTGAAAGTACAGTGTACTCTGTCAAATCGTACGGGATCTTTACAATATGTCGGATTACGCAGAGTGTCGGAATACTCAGTTTTCTCAAAACCATAAGTACTATTATAACTTGGAAAATCGGGAGTATTATAATAATGTAGCTTCGAATCCCCCGAATGTTATTCCTTTTAAAAATGATACACATTTCTATACATTCAAAATTCTATTACATTAGTTTTTATTTCATTTAACATGCGTAGGCATTTTGAATAGGTCAAGTCTGTCGTTAATTTATCTTCTTCATCGTCTTCAGTTGATCGCACACTTGTCTTTGCTGTCACATGTTTATTGATAATCTGTTGTTCTATGTCCAGGTCGTCGTCACACGGTTCGGAGAGATCCGAAGGGTGAACAAACTTAGGTATTCATGTTCAATTGGCATGTGCAACGAATGTTTCCAACAGGTGCTAGGAATATTTTTACGACTGAATTCATGGGAAAATTTGTGGGTATTCTTGAGTATTTGTCACAACTGTGTTACAAGAGATTATAAAATTATCAAAGTAATCAACAAAGACATACGCGAGCGAGTTTTAATCTCACCGATAATTAACTGGTGATTGCTTGTTAATCTTTTGAGGCTTCACACCCACTCATTGAACAACCGTGAGGCTGATGTCACTCGCCTTAATCCCAAAAGAAATATGGGATACAAATTACTTATGGGCAGAAAATGAATTAGAATCAAAGTTATCATTTTCATCTCTGTCTAGCATCAGAAAAAAATCCTCACCACTGATGTCAGTCACCTAATGAATATTTCCACCAAGTTTCAATTTTTTTCCAAAATCTTGACACATGAAATTGCTTACCTCTGCTTAGCGTAAGCAGAAAATATTGATGTAATGAATCTTTTTACCAAGTCTCATCACTTTCCCTTAATTAGAATCCAAACTATGGTGTTCTAATGTATCGACAAATCAAATTGCTGATCTCTGCTAAGCCCAAGTTCTACCTCAATCAGAAAGAGTTATTGTGTCCCAAAAAGTGAAACTGAAAGACAGACAAATCGAATGACAGACAAACCCATTTTAAAAGTCCCATGATGTCTTCAAAAGGCAAGGGACAATAAGATAATCATACTCACATAGCCCAATCCCCTACTAGCTACAAATAAAGCAAATAGATGTCGATCAAAAGCCTTTCCATTCATAGCATCCTTATATTTTCGTTGATGTTTTTCACAAGCCTTTCGAAATAGTGCAATCTTTCCTTCTCGACTCACAGATTTGTTATACATGGCCCTATAAAAATAAATATAAAATCATAATTGAACATACTTCAACATGGCAATAATAAACACGGCAAATTCAGCTGTCAGGATATCCAACCGGCTAAAATAGTAGTTGTTTATTTATAATACATCTTATTCACACTTCACAGACAATAAAATATATGTCCACAGCAGCTAAGTCGTCAAGACAAACAACAAAGGTTTCTGCATATTTTTTCTTTTGTAGGTAGGCCTAATGGGGCACTAAAAAACCCCCCAAAAAACCCCAGTAAAAACAGGTCAAGAGATTAAAGATACATTATGTAAGATTTTAAGATTTAGATAATGAGCTGACCATTCTTGCTATAATATCTCAAAAATAGATAATGCAAAATGAAAATTTCATTCAAATTACTTTATTTTGAGCCACATTATCACTGTTTGTAGTTTTGACAAGATGTGTGCATTGTTGTAACTAGAGGACTGGTATATTCAAGACTTAGCCTCACTTTCCCATTTTTAAGGCGTTCTAATCTAGTTAAAATGTTGAGTATCTGATACCATTCAGAATTGATTATGGTCTTGTTTTGTTAATAGATGTCTAATTAATAGTTTATATAACATTTCTGGTCTAAAGAAAGACTGAAATAGGCGGATTTAGCTCTTGCATAATGTATGTTTAACTAAAATTAATAGTCTTTTTCATCTCATAATCATAAGCACTGTGTATCAATTTCAAAGAATTTTCAAAATGATCAAGTGTGTTAAGGTTGACAGAAATTGTTGGAAATTTTTGAAAGCAGTACTCTTTAGTCTTTCTTGTGAACAGCCAGCGGCTGCCAGACAGGATACGCCCACATTTTGCAAGAGATGGATAGAGAACAAGCCAAAAACAAACGCGATTATGTGTACAATTAGGGGCAATAATCCAGAAAGTTATGGTCTGAAATGCGCAAACATCAAAAGGGACGAGATCTTTGGAATATAAACATTTATTTCAAGTTTCATCAAAATCGGATAAAAATTATGACCTCTAGAGGGTCCACAACCTTGATAGATCATATTTTTACACTATTTGCATACAAAGGGGGGGGGGGGGGGCATTTTATCCGCCAGTTTTCGTCCGATTTTCACGAAATTCGAACTCAAAGAGTCATTATGGTGTAACAGTGATATACTCGAATGTTTTATTAAATCGGATAATAACTGTGACCTTTACTTTTAGAGGGTCCAACAAGGTAAACGTGATTTTTCGTACAAGCTAAAAATGTGATTTTTTGTAAAATCAGGGGTCATAATTCAGGAAGTTACGATCTGATATGCGCGTATATCGAAAGGAACTAAGATCTTTGGGTCCTAAACGTGCATTCCAAGTTTCATCAAAATTGGATGAAAATTTTACACTATTTGCATACAAAGGGCGGCCATTTTGTCCGACAGTTTTGCTCCAATTTTAACGAAATTCGAACTCAACCATCATTAGGGTGTAACGGTGATGTACTAAAACCTTTTTTTAAATCAGATAAAAATTGTGACCTCTAAAGGGACCACAAGCTAAATATATATTTTTTGTACAATCAGGGGCCACAATTCAGGAAGTTACGATCCGATATGCGCAAATATCGAAAGGAACCAAGATCATTGGGTTATAAACATGTATTTCACGTTTCATCAAAATCGGATCAAAATTAAGACCTCTAGAGGGTCCACAACCTTGATAGAATTGTGACCTTTAGAGGGTCCAACAAGCTAAAAATTCAGGAAGTTTCGATCCGATACATGCCAATATCGAAAGGAGCCAAGATCTTTTGGAGATAAACCTATAATTCAAGTTTCGTCAAAATCGGATAAGAATTGTGACCTGTACAGTGTCCACAAACGAATTGTGGACGGACAGGGGCGACGACATTATACGTATAAAAACAGTGTACAAATTTCAGATGGTAACATTACAAACTAGTGCATCCATCAGCAATTGTGGACGACGGATGTATGGGACGACAATATGCGACCACATTTGAATATGGGCATATAAAAATAGCAAGATGACAGATTATAAGCAGAAAAATTCTGTTAAATTTCCATCAAAAGTACTTTTCTTAATTGTGTCTTTATAAAACTAATTACATCTGATTTCAATCTCGTTTTCATTCAATTAAATTTCATTATTTTGGCTTAAATACTTAAAAGAGAACTCTTTATTATTATTATTATTATTATTACCTGACAAATTCTACAGTATCAGTAGACAAAGTTCTCACAGTTTCTGTTCTACCTTGTAAATATAATCTTGTCATGGATGCCTCGTAAGTTAAACAAAATTTTCCTGCATTTTTATAGTAAGTCAACTGGAGTGCCATTTGTATAAAAGCATCAGGGCTAACCTAAAAATTAAAGTAAAATTTATGTATACTATTCAAAAAAAGTAGGGGATATTTGATTTTTAAGTGTTATTAAAGTCACCTAATGAAACTGACGAAGAAACAAATGACAAAATGAAATGAAGTTCACATTCATCGATTTAATTCAAATGATCGTTAGACTAAGTAAGGCACAGACTGACCATTATAAGGGTAAAATGATACCCGGGGTCAAACAGCAAAGTTACCACAGCATCACAACCAAGTCAGTAACGGGTAAATCCTCCTCTGTTTGCCAAACAAGCATTGATCCGACGTGGCATACTCCTAATGAGACGTCTATGGTCATTTTGGTCCAGATTGTCCCATTCCTGTTGCAACGCAGCAGCAAGTTCTTGGACATTGGCAGGACGTTGTTGACGTTGACGTAACCTCTGTCCAAGCATGTCCCAGACATGATCGATGGGGGAGAGGTTGGGACTCAGTGCTGGCCAAGGTAATGTGGTGATGTTCTGTTGTTGGAGGTAACCTGTAACGATCCTGGCCCTGTGACATCTTGCGTTGTCATCCTGGAAGATGAAACGGCGGCCATGACGTCGTGCGAACGGCACAACATGGACTGCCAAGATGTTGTCCCGGTAGTACTGGCCTGTAACACGCCCTGCAACAACATGTAAAGCCGTTCTTCCAGCAACAGTGATGCCTCCCCACACCATAACAGAACCACCCCCAAATCGATCATGTCTGATGACGTTAACGTCTTGGAAGCGCTCGTTTCGACGACGCCACACCCTCCTACGTCTGTCCAAAAAATCAACAGTGAACCTTGACTCATCTGAAAACATCACATTGCTCCAGCGTCGATTATCCCAGTGTTGACGATCCCTACACCAACGACGTCTTGCCTGAATGTGATGATCTCTCAAACAAGGGATCACGCGAGGACGTCGTGCGAAGGTGACCCCTATGCAGTCGATTCCGAATCGTCTGGCCACTCACTCTCACACCAGTGTCTGTTTGAAGACGAGCGCTGATCTGATTTGCTGTGATGACACCATTTCTCAAGGCCAAGGTACGGATAAATCGATCCTGGGCTTGAGTTGTCGCCCTTGGTCGACCTGAGCGTGGTCTGTCCTGTACAGATTGTGTATCACGGTATCTGGACCATAGCCTGCTTATGACAGACTGAGAAACATTCATCGTCCGCGCCACAACCGCCTGTGTTGTGCCGATCTGTAGCATGCCAAGGGCACGTAACCTTTCATTTTGGGTAAGCCGACGCATATCAAAATTTGTTTTCTGGTCACTAAAACAATTAAACTGATGTTTCCACCCTGGAATTCAATGCCACAATGACTGTAACATTCAAAGTCAGAGTCGTGCAAATCTTGGGTTGGACTCCCATGATGATCCCAAGCATCACCTGCATTCCATGCGGTAGCTATTGGTGCGTTTGGGCGTCACATGTAACTGGAAATGTTTCTTCTGTTAGGTTCTATAGTGACTTTTTTCGTAGTCATTTGCATATTTTAGTATTATGCCCCCAAAATCAAATATCCCCTACTTTTTTTGAATAGTATAGTTGTAAAATACTGACAAGCATAGCAAAAGCAGGTTATTAGATCACACTCACTAGAAAATTAATATTATTATTGAATACATCCTCCTTATTACCCAATTGTGTGCACGTAAAAGAACTCTTGACAATTGGAACTTGATAGAGGAGTAGGCCGTAGCGCTGCTGTCTTCATTAACCTGGCTAGTCAGTGCAGAAAAGTAGGACATTAAAACGAAAAACCCATTTCATTTCATACCAAATTTCCAAGCTCTGACCTACTAGGAAGAATTAATTTTGTGTGTGTTTTAGTTACATTCCTTGAAAAGCACAATACGTTTGCTTGACTCGTAAATTGACATTTTTAAATGTTTTTATCTCAGCTATGGCTTGGTAGATGTGTCTGAAAGTTTGCATAGTGATTGTCAAAGTTACTTGTGTTAACAGATATTGTTCTCTTACGTGACATTAGATTGTCTAAAACAAAACTACTTTAAGTTACACCATTCCAACTGAAATATTTGCAGACGTTTCTTTGCTTGTTTATTTCTTTATTTAAAAACATCCCCCTCTCCCTTCAAAATATTATCATCAACCCGAGAATATGCTATCAAAATAAAATCTTTTCTCAGACATTCGTCAAAAATGGCACGTTTCCGTTTCTCGTAATTTCATGTGTCTCGCGAGATTTCTACTCTTATTTTTCAGTTAAATTAACCAATCACACTATACTGCGTAGTTTTATTTTATTTTTAGTAGCATACTTTATAAACACGTGTCATTAGAAACAGAGCCTGTATTGTCTTATATTTATCGGATATATTGAAGTATAAACTGGTTCAAATAAACAAAGACCACAACTTGGAATATTAATCAAATGTATACCTACATTTATAAACTGATTATTTTATCATAGGCCTATTTAATATTATGGGCCAATTTTTCTTGGCGTACACCCGCATAGTATTATATTAGACTAGGATAACAGTCACAAATCTCGATAATAGATTGCTACCGTGGAGTTGAAAAAAATTTGTCTTATAGTTAGTTAGTGTTAGTTGTATTTTACGTCCGCTTCCACCGAGGTGATATCGCAGACAATTTGTCTTATGTACCGATTCGACTTATATATGGATAGAGGTCGGAAAAACAGTAAAATATGACGTTTCGACTTACACTCCACATGGACTTATACCCCGTAAAATACGGTAGTTATGTACCGTCCTGATATGTTCCTGTCATAGTCTAGTTCCCGATGTAGTTTAGTTCATGTTGCATCTATGTAACTGTTTGATATTCTGTTCCGATGTAAATAAATCATATATTTACTAAACTGATCTCTGTTATCACTAAAATAGTGTTACAGTCCCTCACCTTGCATTGTTTTATAAATCCTTTACCATATGCACTATGATCTCGTACACACAATTCTAAATCAGCATTATTCTGAAAAATAAACATAGCTGTTTCATTATTATTTTAAACACTACTTATTCATAAAACATGAAATGTATAAGTTAAAAGAAATAAAACTATCTTGAAATTTAATCAATTTAAAAGTACAATCCCCTCCCCCCCCCCGGTAGAAATTCTATTGTTCCATCTTTTTAATCAACGGTCACTCGTCTGACCCAGCCAGCGGTCACCGTTTTAGTTATAATTTTTACAAAACATCGCCCATTCAACAGCCATTGTTGAATGATACCATCTCGTCATACTTCGTAGAACCTCCGGTAATTCTGTGATTAATAGTTAATTATCTGCCCCCCCCCCCCATGATCAGTTAAAAAGAACTGTGAAAATAACAATAAACCCGGGATTATCTGTTAATTAATCTTTTGTTTTATTACATGACAAACCCTGATCTGCTGATCCTTGTTTTCACATGTAACGAGAAACATTATTTGATACAAATTGAATAAACTATAAATACTGACAAAGCTGAGTTTTATCATGATCATCTAGTATCTATTTTCCATTGCCAATTTGTTGTTAAACAAAAGTTTTAGCGACCCCCTGAAAATCCCCCTGAAAATCGGTGAAAAATTTAGTGATGTTTTTTGGACATGTGCTTTTTTGATAAAATATAATTAATTCAAGGATTTTCTTTACAGAAATAGATAAATATTATCGAATACATCATGATGGTAGACAGTAGTATGATTGTTGGTACAAAATGACACATTTACATGAGTTATTTGAGTCAAAGAATTTTCATTCAAAGCAAAATTCAGCGACGGCCAAATTTACCAATGCAAATTGTATGTTTGCTCAAAATGCATCCAGGCATAAAATTTACTTGATGTCAGCACTAACGAACAATGAGATTTTATTAAGAGGTCACTCCTGTTAAGCGGCCAGCCATGAAAATTCCCATGAGTTGCAGCTTAATACAGATTCTACTGTAGTTGCTTCACTTTATTCTCTCTTTAATATCAATAAGAACACCTTCAGAAAGAAAACTTTAAAAGGGTTTACCTTTTTTGCTAAATCTAAAGCACTTCTGATAGAAGATGCCAAATCCTCTTGTACATCCCACACTAAACGTTCTGGTTTAGTTACAATTAATTTACCCGGAACATCTGCATGTATAACATAACCATCAGGTGTAAAATATACATCAGTTACTCTACAAATAAAAAAACATATTCATTATTATGTAATAATATTCTTCATTAGAAAGAGGAGAGAGAGAAATGGGAGGACCCGGAGAAAACCCATAAGATTGGGCAGTCGACTCCACATCCTGACCCATATAAGCTTGAGATTGAAACCACACCAATTTACTCAATGACAGACCTGATCTAAAGCATAAATGTTAGACCACTCGACCACATACCACATCCTCTCTTTGGCAAAAGGACACCTGTGCATGGATATCAGTGTTTGCAATTTCAACTACTCTTTGAATTCCAACTTTCAAGGAATATGTCCTATGCATTGATTCAAATGACTGACTAGAAGCCACATGTTCTTCATAAGCCAAATTATTACAAAACACATATAATAAGCTGCAAATGTAATTATTATGAAAGTGGTGAGATAAAATATTGTTCTCTTTGTACACATATACAGATATCAATATAAAGCCACACAAATTTGAATTACAGATCTTCAGAAACCATCTATTGGTATTTTGGTTTCATGACTTTGGAAATATTTTGTTTAAAATACAAAAAATATTTGATTGTTCTTCTTAATAGCTCATAACCGCAAAATTTAGGTTATGAAATCTAAAAATCTCCAAAAACTTAACCAGTGGCTGCCAGGCAGGATACGCCCACATTTTGCAAGAGATGGATAGAGAACAAGCTAAAAACAATTGGGATTTTTTGTACAATCAGGGGCAATAATCCAGAAAGTTATCTTCTGAAATGCACAAATATCAAAAGGGACTGAGATCTTTGGGATATAAAGATATGTTTTAAGTTCCATCAAAATCGGATAAAAATTGTGACCTCTAGAGGGTCCACAACCATCATATTGCATACTTTTACACAATTTGCGTACAAAGAGCGGCCATTTTGTCCGGCAGTTTCATTTCGATTTTCCCGAAATTCGAATTCAACCTTTATTATGGTGGAATGGTGATATATTTAAACGTTTTTTAAAATCGGAAAAAAAAATTGTGACCTCTAGAGAATCCGTATGCTAAAAATGTGATTTCTCGAACAATCAGGAGCCATAATCCAGGAAGTTAAGGTGTAACAGTGATATATTCAAACATTTTTTTAAATCGAATAATAATTGTGACCTCTAGAGGGACCACAAGCTAAAATCGTGATTTTTTGTACATTCAAGGGCCATAATGTTGTATTCGGATCCTTGGATCCAGGGGTGTTACACATTTATATGTGGGTGGAAATAAAAATCAACCATTCTCCATGTTAGAATTCCAATCTCTATCTTTATTACTTTAAAAGGCAGAAGAACTACAACATAAGGGAGACAACTTGTGTCTGCTTAAACATAAGGTTTCAGACCACAATGATATAGAATATACCACAATATGACAATAATTCAGGAAGATACAATCCGATACGTGCGAATATTTCAACTTACATCAAAATTGGATCAACATTGAGACCTCGAGAGGGTTCACAACTTTGATATACCAGATGTTTAGACTAATAGTGTACAACGGGCAGCCATTTTGTCCAGCAGTTTTGGCCCGATTTTCATGAAATTCGAACTCGACCAAAATTACAGTGTAACGGTGATATATTTGAATGTTTTTTTAAATCAAATAATAATTGTAACCTCTAGAGGGACCACAAGCTAAAAACGAGATATTTCGTACAACCAGAGGCCATAACTCGGGAAGTTACAATTTGATAGCGCGAAAATTGAAAGGAACTAAGTTTCATCAAAATTGGATCAAAATTGTGGCCTCTAGAGGCTCCACAACTTTGATATACCAGATGTTTACACTATTTGGGTACAAGGGCCATTTTGTCTGACAATTTTGTTCCGATTTTCATGAAACTCAACCTCAAGACAAAATTATGGTGTAACAGTGATATATTTGAACGTTTTTTTAAATCGGATAATAATTGTGACCTCTAGAGGGACCACAAGCTAAAAACATGATTTTTCGTACAATCAGGGACCATAATTCAGGAAGTTACGATCCGACATGCGCGAATATCGAAAGGAACTGAGATCTTTGGGTTATAAACTTACATTTTAAGTTTCAATTGTGTATGCTTGCCGGCTGGCCGACGACAATATACGACCACATTTCAATGTGGGCGTATAAAAATTGTGACCTCTATAGGGTCCACAAGCTAAAAACGTGATTTTTGGTATAATCATGGGCCGTAATCCATGATGTTACAATCCAACACATGCCAATATTGAAAGGAACCGAGATCTTAGGGAGATAAACCTGTATTTCAAGTTTCGTTGAAATTGGATAAAAATTGTGACCTGTAGAGTGTCCACAAACAAATTGTGGACGAACGCCCGGACGGACAAACAGGGGCGACGGCATAATACGTCCACATGAAAATGTGGGCATATAAAAACATAAATCAAGATGCTGAAGAACTAACAGTCAAATGTACAACTTACTCTCCTAGCATGGAAAATTCTTGTAAATGAGCAACAACAGGGGCATCAGCAAAAGAATGTTCACAATTAAGACCAACTCGTCCATCAGTGAAAAATAACAGATTGATGGACTTTTCAAACCAGATATTTTTTCCATCTCCATGAAGCAGAAATTTTGCTCTCTCAGACATATCTTCATAACACGTAGTTTCTAAAGATATCTGTAAACAAATTACACAATGTAATTATCTCAACAATTATATGAACAAATCACTATTTTGACTTAAGTCAAACAGCTTTTAAACAATTGAAATAATTTCAAACTGCAACGAAGCATAGGTTACATAAAAATATTTTAATTTCCATATTAACAAATGTCACTGATTTTCATTGATACTATATAAGGCATACAATCAATCTTCATTTGAACTTGGAAGTTTTCAAATATTACCAAAGTATCAGTCTCAATAATGTAGCCCTAGAAATTTAAACAGCCTCTGCTACTTTGGCCTACGGAGCAAGGCTAGCGGTCACTATTCAACAACATCTGTCATTGGCTAATCTAAAGGTTTGCACTTAATGTAGCCAAAGAGAGGTCAAAACTGTAAATGAATGATTGTGAACTTACATATTTAAATTTATTTGTCGGGTCACAGAATTTGCATTATTTCTATAGACTTGGATGTTAGTAGGATGATTTAGCAAGTCTACCAAAGTATACAAGACTTACAAATATAATGGATCTTTCAACAATATCAAGAGATTCTTTGTTAATTCCTTCTTTAAAATGTTGTTGTCTGACTCTGGCAGCAGTTGTTCTATCAAGGCAAGTCAAGGCTGGTATTGATTTACACATTTCAGACATAGCTTCTGAAAAATAAAAGCACAATTTCGGATTTAACTGAAGTAGATTACTTTTTCATTCACTTACTATTATCTTCTAAATATGTTTTAAATGAAAAAATCTTATAAAATCCAGTTCACACCATACATACCTTGAATAAGACAATGTAAAACAATAATTTAATAGAAGAAAAACAAAATGATGGTAATCAATAATCACTGTCCTTAACTTAAAGATACATTATGGGAGATTTGATAACGAGTTGGCAGTTCTCACTATAATAATTAAAAACTAGATAACGTAAAGGCAATTTGCTGAAAATTTCATTCAAATTGATTCACCATGAACCGAGAACTAAGCGAATGAAATTTCTGCCTAGCCTCGGTCATCATTAATAAAGTCAGTACGATAAACAGCATAGTCTCGATTATTCATTTAATCGTTTAATCGAGAAGGAAAGTTATGCAGTAAATCGGCTCTCAATCCACTTAAGATCGCAGGCTAGCGATGCCATCTAGAGTTGATTATGGTCTGGATAAGTTAATTAATGTCTAATTAATAATTTAGATAACATTTCAGGCCCAAGTTTAGATTTGTCGTCGATTCCATAAAGTAGTTAGATTTTAAAATGTTAAATACTGTATAATTCAACATGGCCCCCTAGAGGTTTAGTATGATGTAGGTATGAATTAATACCAAAAGGTTTATTTATATGAGAGTCAAGGTTTAGACTATGCCTTGGAAATCGGAAGTGGGAGGTGACTAGTGTATGTGTCCCTCTTTTGTGGACCGGGGTGAGATTGTCCGTTGCATTAACTGGACGGGTAGGACTGTTCACCTTCGGTTATGTATCAATGTTGAATGGGCGACTTTTTATCAACCTGTTCACCTAATGAACATCTACATCAAGTTTAACCATTCTTCCTCAATTAAAAGCAGAGTTGTTATGTTCTAAAGTCTTGAGCAATCAAATTGCTTATCGCTCCTTAGCCTAAGCAAAAAATTGTCACCATAGAACTTAGTCATGGTATAACCAAAATTATCATGCCCCAAAGCATCAACCAATCAGATTGCTAATCTCTGCTTACTGTAAGCAGACAATGTTCATCATCAAACATTTGAACATTCTACTTCAATTAGAAAGAGTTATTGTGTCCCAAAAAGTGTGACGGACAGACGGGTGGACAGACAAGACAGACGGACTAACCCATTTTAATAGTTCCCTGTGTTCTTCGAAAGGCGGGGGACAAAAAGAAACTGAAAGTAGATCAATTGCAGATTTGACAAGATTCTGTGTGAGAAAAGGTCAGCTCTTCTGAAATTCTCTTGACTTCTAGAGAAGAAGCAATCTGATTAAACCACAGATCCTATTTCGTTTCGTTTTTTATAGTTCAAAATTTCGTTTTACTTGTCTTTACTACACTAGGATCGGGAATAGTTTTTATGTAACCCGCATTCTGGATGATGTGAGGGATTTGCCAATGAAATGGTCCGTTACAGTAAGTTTTTGGCATGAGGTGCATGGAACTGTGGGTAACCCACTAGAAACATCCAACGCCGATTGGTTAATCAAATGCCTGACATCATAGGGTCAAAAATCACTTGTATGACCTCTGACATGACCTTCCACTACATGTAGTCCACTACAATGCTCTACCCCTGAGTGTTCCAACTTTGGATTTACATTCAGCCTTTTATCCCTCTCACGGGTGTTACCTCAACACACTTGTCTATATACTATTCCTTTATTGTTATGACAAGTAACAATATTACAAACCAACCAAAGGCATCCTAGTTCACAAAATTATGGACACTGGCACTTCAATCTAAACGATCAGTTGTCATACCTCTGTACAACCCCGGTAAGCAAACTACCGACCCCAGTAAATCCGCCAAGTTGTCAAACCTCGGTACAATCCCGGTAAGCGAGCTACCGACCCCAGTAAGAAATTCGCAAACCTCGCCTAGAGTCCAACCACGGTAATCCTGCCAATTAGTAACCATGGAAACCCCATCAGGGTTTCGGAATAGTATAAATAAAAGGGCCTGCCACATGAGCGAACCAGTTTGAAGAGTTCAATACGAACAAAACTAGTCACTGACACGTGAGTCCAACCAGTCTGAAGAGTTCAATACGAACGAAACTAGTCACCGACACTCGGGATAACCAGGTCTTCATAGCCACTCTTATCTCTGTATTCTGTTGTTAAAACTGTAGGAGATCATCAGAATACAAGAGGTGGTATTAATTTAATGACCTATTAATATCTTCTTTTTTACACTAGTAGACAACAGTAAATATCAATGTTGAAACTCACCTTGTTGAAATGATGCATTTACTACGATCCAGTTAAATTGTTTTTCTAATATCTGTGGTGGTATAATCTTACCATGACAATCAAATACATCTACTTTATACATAACACCTTTGTGTAGTACAACTATATGCTACAAAATATAACATACCCTACTATTAACCTTTATATTTCACTAATGTTTACATTGTTTTTGATAATATTTCATTCTAACTAGAAGCAATACTAATAATTCAATATAGAAATGAAGTGAAATGGGGTTCAACAGCCTACTTTTCTGCACCAACCAGGCTATTGCTAATGAAGACAGACATACACCATGCAGTATGCTATGCGGTAAATTTGGCACGGACAGCAGTGTTTCTGCCAGCGTGTACACAGGACCTTGTTTTTTTGGTCCTATCGAAATGACTATCCTCCCAAGAGGAACTTTCTCGGCAAACACTGGCTGGGATGGAACCCGGGGTCTCCTGGTTAATGAGCTGAATCACCATGACTTCCTCAATATTATACGATACTACATTCTAGAACACCCAATACCACTTCCCAATACAAACTTTTGTTGAGCCTTTGAATATGTACTGAAAAGTTGATAATAAAGGATTTTAGACGCTAACAAAATATACACCTGTGCTTAATTCTGAAACTCTTTCTATACAAGCCAGGTCATTCAGAATTGTGAATATTTCTAAGGCTACGTATTGCAGTAAACTAGTAAAGATATGTGTGAAGTTGGGTCATAAATAAACAGAAACATCCAGTAGAAATAGCAAAGGATTGGATTGTCAAAAGCTTATATTTATATAGATTAGAAAAAGTTTTCCAAGACCAGGGCCCCGATTCCTAGAAAAATCTTAAGCATGTTTTTGTGCTTACATTTTAAGTAGACTATGACTTTTATTAAGTAAACTTATCTTATTTTGTGTTCCCAGAAAATTCTTAAGAACGTTCTTGTGCTTAGATTTTAAGTAGACTTCAGTGTAAGCAAAAGCACATCATTAAGTGTTCCAAGAAAAAATTTAAGAACAACTTCATTGTTAACCATTGTCAATCTAAGCACAAGTCCCAAGCAAGGTATACAGCTTGCTTACCAACCTTAAGTCTGTTTCTGCTTCAAACAAAATGAATGATCGTAGAGTTATTTGTTGGCATTTTCATCTTTGATATCAAAGAGGCAATTTAAAGACAGAGAAAATCCTTTAGAAACATATTCTCGAGAAGAATGCTGTGGAAAATTTCGCTTTTACTCTGAAACCATTTTATTTATTTACCCATTAGTAAACAACACAAACACACAGGCTACTTTAAGATCAGGCGCTCTCACAATTATTCAGTCTGTTTGCACGTGCTTGCATTTTTTTGGCACATTTTATATGTGTATAGGGGGCACACACCTAGGCGGCGTATGATGCACTGGACATTCCAAGAACAAGCAAATGTCACACAGTGATAGATCACCGAGAATTCTCTAGAGATGGTATTTTATAAAGTTTCATACGTAAGAAAAAGTAAAACATGACTTTGTGCTTACTTTAAAAAATTTCTAGGAATCGGGCCCAGACTTCATCAGGAAATTTTACATGTGTGTTTAGTCTTACCTTTGATTCTGAAGAACTGTAATGTACTAGTTCATCAATATCTTCACCTGGTATTCTATAATATAAAACAATATATCATTTATAAAGATAGGTTGCCAGGCAACAAAACATACACCCACAGAAGCTAAATCTTCCAGGCAGTCAACAAGGGTTGTCACATATTTTTACCTTTGTCAGTAATATAACAATTACAATACACTAAAATCTGATTACGAGTAACAACCCATTAAGTAATTATTAAAAATCATTAGAATTTGTTTCTATTGTTTGTCTCATGACCTGAAACACTGTGTATAAATTCATATCCACATTTTGCAAGAGATGAACAGCTAAGAATAGGAAGTGATTTTTCGTACAATCAGGGGCCATAATCCAGAAAGTCATGGTCTGATATGCGTGATTATCTGCAGGAATCTAGATCTTCGGGATATGAACATATTTCAAGTTTCATCAAAATCAGATAAGGAGCGACAATTATGTCCTGCAGTTTTGGTCAGATTTTTACAAAGTTCGAACTCAAACTTCATTGATGTGTAACAGTGATTTTTACAAATAGAATACAAATTATGACTTCTAGTGGGTCCACAAGCTAAAAATGCGCATTTTCGAAAATCAAGGGACATAATTCAGGATGTTACAGTGCAATATGCGCAAATAACAAAGGAATCGAGATCTTGTGTTATAAACATATGTTTCAAGTTTCATCAAAATAGGATGAAAATTATGACCTCTAGAGTGTTCACAAGCTAAAAACGTGATATTTTGTACAATCAGGGGCCATAATCCATGAAGTTATGATCCGATACATGCCAATATTGAAAGGAACCATGATCTCTGGGAGATAGACATATATTTCAAGTTTCATCAAAATCAGATAAAAATTGTGACCCGTGGAGAGTCAACAAACAAATTGTGGATGCACATCCAGACAGGGGCGACGACAATATACGTCCACATGAAAATGTGGGCGTATTAAAAGGGATAATTGAGTCTTTGTCTTGATGGCAAAGTGCTGCTGCTACGATAATAAACAAACTACACTACATCATTTCAAACTACAATCACTCATAGCTCAGAATAAAGCAATTTGAAAGAAATGATCAATATATTAATTTTTCATTACTGGTATCTATTTTTGAACTATTATAGCACGGCCAGCTCTTTATCTAAATCTTACAAAATGCATTTTTAATGAGGCTCTGCTTAGACTGCTAAACCACCCAAGTCCACCAAATGAAATGAAATGAGGTTTAAAGTCCTACTGTTTTGCTTCGAACTGGGCTAATGAAGACGGGCATACACCATACAGTGTGCTATGAGGGAAATTTTGCCCGGACAGCGGCACTACGGCCTACTCTTATATCGAATTCCAACTGTCAAGGGATCTTTTACGTGCACACCAATGTGTACACGGGACCTTGGTTTTTCGTACCATCCGAACGACTAGACAGCTTTCCTTGTCAGCCCCTCCGTCCTGCATCACTGACAAGGGAGAATCACGCCGGAAAATCTGGATGAACTTTCTCGGCCAATGCAGGGATCGAACACCCAACCTCCAGGCTAGCGAGCCAGCGTCTCACCCACTTAGCCACCGTGTTCCCCCCCCCCCAAGTCCACCAAAGTAAACTAAATATGAAGAATGAGTATACCTGGTTGTAGAGAAAACTCTTTCATACTGAGCCATACAAACTGGAATAGTATTTCTTATAGTCAAGGCCTCTACTTGTTCTCTATCTGTTTTCTGTTTCACTAACATTAACTGGTACACGGAGCTTGCAGCTCTGAAAATAAAATGTTAACTCCAAATTATTTTGTAATAAGGAAAGATACAGCCAGACATTATTGTTGTACTTTTTTAATTCAAACATGTCATTTGGTGACACTATTGGTGGTCTTTGTAACTTCAGGGTTGGAAATCGAAATTAAAACTACTGCTCCATTTAGTTGGCATAAGTGATGGGTGTTGTGCACAGGGCACCATATTCTCATGTTCTAAAACATGATACCATTTCTTGTTTCATACGAAGTTCATGCAGCTAGTAACTTTTATTGTAGTAATGTAATTGACGATTATCTTTCAACCAGAAAAATATTGGTTATAAACAGAAATATAGTACAAAGCAATGAAAAATATGCCTGCTGGCAGCTAAGTAATCTCAGCACCCCATATATGAATCTTTAGGCAATACCTTTATATTGCAAACCTTGCCGCAATAACTTATTAATAACTGCACCAAATAATATAAACATAAAGTAGTTCAGATGATGATTTTCAATGTTTTCCCAAGATTCTACAAAGTGAGCAAAGTTCATAAGTCATGCCTGCATAATCTGTTGATATTCGATAGGCTTCTTCATTGCAATAATCCAAACAACTTATTTCAAATAGATCAAACTATAACTTTTGTTGATAGAGCAATCATATGACCCTACAAAGTTGAGAGAGAGAGAAATGGGGTTTAACGTCCACTTGACACAAACTAGGTCATTTCGGGACTAAAATGTGGTTCAATTTTATTTCAATAATTCGCTTGTACGTAGGGGTCTTTAGCAGTGGGAGGAAACCAGAGAACCCGGAGAAAACCCACAAGGTTGGACAAGCGCCCCTACTCCTTATCACGAACAAGCAGGAATTTGAAACCACACCAGTTGACTCAATGACAGACCTAATGATACAACGCACGCTAACATTTTGGCCATTCACCCCCCCGTAAATTCTACAAAGTTAGTAAGGGCAATAATCAATAACGTAAAAAAATATCGGTTGATAAATATAGTGGACAGATGGGGGCATATGTACAACTACATTTCTATATGTGGGTTATAAAAAGTGAATGTTTACCTTGAAGTTTGTCTATTTGTTGGTTTCCAATAACTCTGATCCATTACATAATAATTACTGTTGATAGGTAATGGGCTTCTTCCCATTAGATATATATATTTCTCCCTATAAATTAGGAAAAACATATTGGTCAAAAATTGTTAATGGTACAACAAGCCAGACTGTTCACATATACCTCAATAGTCTAATGTACTAAGTTAATGTAGCGGTAACTAAGAAATTTTTTTATGAAGAAATGGACTGGTTTGTACGAGACAGATAAGACACATAATGACTGTAGTGAAAAATCAACAGAAAGTTTAACAGAAATCTATGCAAACTTTAAATGGCCATAAATTAGGTATAAAAACTGAACAGATCGAAATATTTTTTGGGAGCAATTGAAAAATTGTTTTTTTTTACAAGTTATGTGCTTTTGATTGTGCATGGTCTTTAACTTTATACAAAATTCATATTCTGGCATGTTGGGGCTTTAAATTTGAAGAATAGTTTAGTAACGGTTAAAACCTTGCAGTTGTTTCAAGCAGATGATTCTTCTCTTGCATGTATTGATCAAATTTAATACCAGTTGGTCAATGAGGTACTAGGTTCTTCCTTGTCTAAAAAAAATGTTTAAAAATATATGTTCAATAACTTACCACCAATCACTGACCCAGTTTGCAGCCCACCATGATTTTAAAACAAGTACTCGTTGTAATTTGGGGCCAATGGTCTTCTGAAACTCTTCAGCTTCTTTCTCCAACTGAATGAATTCCTCTGGTTTATCTTCATATAAAGGTTTAAGAGAGAGAAGAAGATCTCTAATAGTAGTTTTTAAAGGTGGTACTGGCATTCGAGGCAGACTTTGTTGACAGCTGTAGAGAGTGGGGTGGGATCCTGATATAACTTTAACTAGTAAACCCCACATAAGCGTTGTGTATGACTGAGACTTTGGGGGTTCATCTGTTTTAAAAAAAATAAAATACAAAATTCACCAAACATGGGTTGATAGGCAATGAAACATACACCCACAAGTAGCTTTATCTCTTCAGTATGGTATATGAAATTACTTTGGCAGATCAGAACCCCATAGCATAACTTTGGTAAATTCAATACATTCACCTGGAATATTGTTTTCACACAAAGAAATTATTAGTGTTATGACAATAAATTATTTTTGCCAGAACAATAAATTATTATTACTTTCCATTAACTTATTAGTGGTTTTGACATTATGTCATGTTAACTATGTCAAATCAATTTGTATTTATTCCCTGTCATCATATTTGAATATTACTATTTTTCTAAAGGTAGCCCAATATTTTTATTGGGCTAAAACAAACATCCTGTACAAGTATAAGGTAAAACATAAAAAATTTAACTAGATTAGTTAATTATTATGAAGAGATTAAATAGGTCACCTACTAGACCTGTTTTACTTTTAATATCTAGGCCTACATACATATCAACTAATTTGACAATATACATGTAGATATTTATATAAAGAGAAAGCATAGTTTGTTTTATCTTTTATGATACTGTGATATGATTGACAGGAGTCTGTTATCACCTAGTAGTTTGTACACCTAATTCAAGATAAAATTAGAAATATAAATTATACATATCAGGAGTAAAAAGTGGCATGTAGTAACCCAGATAAAACATTTCTTACCCTATTTAATATTAATGTTGAAAAATAGAGAAAAGGTACCATTGCCTGGCCATTTGAAAAAAATAGGTGATGGTTTTTCATTTGTTTTAATGCAAAAATCATTTTTTAAGGCTGTATCCAGTACAGTGATGGGATTTCAAATTTTTTCTTCTCAGACATTTTTACCGAAAATAAAGGGACATAACTCATATCATTATTTAAGATGGCAGTTTTTAGACCACACACAAAAATCACGTCGTTATTTTTCATATTTAATTCCCGTACGGTATTCAAATTTATGTCAGTAATATTCCTACAAATTTCGTAATACGATAGAATGAAAGCGTGCCGACTACTGCCAATCTGAACTGTTTCAAATTCCTCCAAAATTACTGTATTTTAGGGTCATAAGTCGCTACATTTTTCAGCAGAAGTTCGGCACTCCTCTTATACTCCGTTACGACTTATGTACAGAGGGTAAGAATATGATATCCCAAAATTTTTTGGGCAATAAACGTCGCTCTACCATAACGAGCGAATGACCCTATCCGCTAAATAGTCGCATTCTACTCTAGCATGCGCTATCGTCTAAAACAATTAAGTACTTACACTATTCCAATCGACATATTTGTCAACATTGCCTAGATTACTTATTTCTTTATTTAAAAAAATAAACCCCATTCAAAATATGATCATAAATCCGAGAATATGCCATCAAAATAGAATCTTTTCTTCGACATTAGAAGCATGTATTTTGTCACGTATACATTTCATAATTTCACGCGTCTCGTGAGATTTCTAATACCGGTTCAGTTATCGTACTTTAACCGTCTGAAGCTGTTTTTCTTTCAAGTTTAATCAGATTTTCTTCAAACAAGGACAACTTTGCTCTGAAAATTCTAAACGGCGCAATTTTGATAACTTCTTTCTAAAACCGGGAAGTTCGTAGGTACATATCACTTACTGTCATACAGCCGAAGCTAGATGTAGAGTAACGGAATCTGCGGAGGTTTCCCCGAGTGCTGTAACCGGGTGCTAGCAATGTCTAGTATTTTTCGGATATGTGTGTGTGTGTATGTGTGAAATAGCTTTATTTAACGCTCGCTTCCACCGAAGTGATATCGCAGACGAATTATAATGACTGTCTATTGATCTGGGCGTTATATACTCTTACAATATGTGACTTCTATGACTAGTTTATACCTATTGTCGGCTCACATCAATGCTATTAAAATGTCCGATAATGCAGAAACCACGAGGTTAACACGAAGATTAAAATTATAAAGGATTGATGAATAGTCCGACAAAGGGGAAACAATGGCTTCTATTTAAAATTAGATTGATGAATTGTCCGACAAAGGATTAAGTCAGTCAATTAAGGCAGATTAAGTAGTTAATCAAGGTAGGTTTATAGACCGTATAACACGATACATACGTTGATCACTTAATTACCTAATCAATCCAGTGTATTATCGACGATAATCTGGTTGAGTGGTAGTTATAGTTTCGGAATTTTGAATATTATTCACCATGTCTTGATGTCCGATTGGGCATATTCCCGGTCAGACAATTTTGGGCGTTTGGAAAAAAGATTCGGAGAAGTCCGGAATATACGGGCAAAATCCCATCACTGATCCAGTATTGTATGTATAGATTTTTTTGTTACTACAAAATTGACATCAGTTTTGAAGAGATTACTCAAATGAAATTTATTAGTATGTCAAGTTTCTATTACTGAAAGCACCAGCGGCTGCCAGGCAGGATACGCCCACATTTTGCATGAGATGTATAGAGAACAAGCTAAACTAAAAACGATTTTTCGAACAATCAAGGGCCATAATTCAGGAAGTTACGATCCGATATGCCTGAATATTGTGACCTCTAGAGGGTCCACAACCTTGATATACCATATGATTACACTATTTGCGAAGAAGGGTCGGATTTTCACGAAATTCAAACTCAACCAACATTATACGGTGTAACAGTGATATATTCAAACGTTTTTGTAAATCAGATAATAATTGTGACCTCTAAAAACACAATTTTTTGTACAATCAGGGGCCATAATTCAGAAAGTTATGATCCGATATGCGCGAATATCGAAAGCAACCAAGATCTTTGGGTTATAGAGATGCATTTCAAGTTTCCTCAAAATCGGATCAAAATTGTGAGCTCTATAGGGTCCAAAAGCTAAAAATGTGATTTTTCGTACAATCAGGGGCCATAATCCATGAAGTTTCGGTCCGATACATGCCAATATTGAAAGCAACCGAGATCTTTTGGAGATAAACCTATATTTCAAGTTTCGTCAAAACCGGATAAGAATTGTGACCTGTAGAGTGTCCACAAACAATTGTGGACGGACGGAGAGGGACGACGACAATATATGTCCACATGAAAATGTGGGCGTATAAAAATGATATAAATCTAATAATAATTGTCATTGTATTGTCTTTTGTCTGATAATACTGGAAAATTAAGTATTAGAGCACCGTACCATTCAGATACATGTAAAACTATCATAGAATAAATTATTCATCTAAAGTCATTGATTAAGATATATTAAAGATACATTATGGGAAATTCGATAACGAGTTGGCAGTTCTCACTATAATAGTTAAAAACTAGATAATGTAAAGGCAGTTTGCTGAAAATTTCATTCAAATTGATCCACTATAAACCGAGAACTAAGCAATTGAAATTTCCGTCTAGCCTCGATCATCATTTCTAAAGTCAGTACGATAAACAACATAGTCTCGATTATCCAGTTAATCGTTACATCATGAAGGAAAGTTATGCAGTAAATCGGCCCATAATCCACACTAGATCGGAGGCTACCGATACTATCTAGAGTTCATTTTGGTCTGGAAGGTTAATTAATGTCAAATTAATAATTTTGATAACATTTCATGCCTAAAGAAAGACCTGCAATAGACAGATTTAGCTCTTGCATAAGGTAAATCTGTTTCACAGAGGATTACGAAAGTCTTCTAATATCTCTGTAAAAGAAGAGTACCTTTAACATGCGACGTCTCATCACGCGGCGTCAATAATTGGCTCAATGGCGCGTGCATTGTTTACATAAGACGTTCATCGTTCGGGCAGAATAGAGCTGTTTACTCATTTTAATACCCATTTGCACTAAATAGGAAATAATTTTTACATACAAATACGTCAAACACCGTTATTTATTTTTTCTAATACTTAAAAAAAATGTTTTAGAATTTAATTTGTGGGAGGAAAAACGTTAATATTTCTGGCTCATTAAGTCGCATCAATGTCATCCTTATCAGTGATTGTAGCGGCCTATGAAAATTCACTGCTGATCAGTGTGGTATAATGTATGTTTAACTAGCATACTATAAATAGAAAGTAACACTGATATAATCCTTCCTGCAAAAGACAGTAATTAGAGTGACCCTATTACTCATTTCACATGATTTCCAGTCAAAGTTCAGACAAAGGAAAAAACATTAGGCAAATGACCTGGAATTTGTTATCTATCAAAATTAAGACTGATAATAAAACTACAATTATAGAAAAGTGTTAAAAGTTTACAAATCATTTCAACTGCGTCTATCTAATCTGTTTCATAGCAATGGAAATTGTAGATAATGTAGGCCTATTTTTTTTTCCTAATTAAAAATCCTTCCGAGAGTTCTTTAAATTATTATTAAGGCATATATATTATGACAACCGATTAGGGTAAATGCTTTTGCAAATTCAACTTCTATGGTTTAACCAGCCCAAATCCAAAGCGATAACCAATAAATATTCATCAAACTCCCTTGGCATTTTGAATTAGGTTTTGCAAGATGACAATGCAAACCCTAAACATTCTTTCTTTTTCAATATATATGTAGGAGAAGCCTATATAGCGAGTTGTTTTAACCCAGCTTAACCTTAACAGGCTTTCTTTCACTGTTAAAGATCCTGGTGTGTAAATGGGTTATTGATATAAAATACTGTTAGTTAATGTTGAGTAGGTGTTAATATATGTATTACTCTCCTTCTCTTTCCTAAAAGATGTTTAAAATCTGTAATTTATGCATCCTAAATATCAGTAGGATTTAACTACTCATATTCTCCCTCTACCTTCTAAATCATATAATATGCCTACATGTATTTAGTATCTTCATAAATGTCATTATTATAAATAAAAACAATATATAACCATGTGGTAAATAACAAAAAAGTATATCTTACACATCCAACCCCTGTAACTGAGCAGCAGTCTTAAAGCATATCTTCTAACATGATATAATACAATGAAAAAGCCAAATCCAACAACAGTTGATGCCAGGAAGGATTTCACATCTTTTGGAAAACCTAAAAACAAACCCATCAATACAAGAAATATGAAATTTGTTTTTAAGAGATCATTTTGCAACACCCCTAGTATCACTTTTAATTAGTTCTTGATTATTTCTTTTCCCACCCAGTTAATATGGCAACTTGTGTATTATCCATAAGTTGCATTTCATGAGGTATCCTTCAATACATTTTTCGAACACTGCTAATAATCTGCATTATTATTAGTTGGCTTTCTTTGTATTTGAAAGATGAAAAGAGATGTGCTAGATTATGGCACACTTGGCAAACTGGAAAAAAAGACTGATGGGCATGACATCCTTTTGCGCTGGGACATAACAGTCAAGACTCAACAAGATTCTCTGGATCTATGTATACACATCTTAAATAAAATTGATATGAAATTTCTGTAATTTTTAACAAAATATCAAAATATAATACTATTAAATTGTCATTCTTAAAAGTGTATCACAATTCCATATATAAAATATGACTATGAGTTACAATTCCATAAAATATATCATTTAATTCAAGTTAGGAACATTACTAATCAACTAATTAGAATAAATCCTAGCACTAATTAGAATAAATTCTAGCACTATAAATTGCAGTAAAAGTAATAACTAGCACCTTTGGGAATGTGAAGGTGTATTTCTGTCCAATGTACAACATCTGTTATTGGTTTGGTTATCTGTGAATCAACATGGCACATACCAGTTAACAAGATTACTGTACCTCCTAGATTCCAAATCTTGGTTGGCCACAAACCATTCTGAATTAAATTCCTAAAATAAATAATCAATGGTGATAAAAATCAATCTGTACATCATCTACCATATTACTTTGTTTCCGATTAAAAACAGTATGTTGATATAGATTCAATTAATTACTGTAGCTACCAATTACAATAGCAACAGAAGCTAGCATTCAATCTCGATCCAGAGGTAAGTTTACCCGTCGTTTAACTCACTGGCCATTTTGAAATCGGCAGCATTTCATTCTAACAAATCCTTCCCCAATCAGTAGCCACAGGAGGGGGGTAAACAACCGAATTCCCGCTGATTAATGGCCGGCGAGTTTTAGCAGAGATAAACGAAGGGTAATGTTATCTCTGGGATCGAGATTTGCCAACCTTCTGTCAGTATAGCATCGCTAACGCTGCAATACATGTCCACATTCCAGCTTTAATTGATATGGTACTTTTCAGAATGAAGAGAATGAAATATGAAATGGCTGTAATATGATAAGAGGCAAAGAAGGCTAGGCGTTAGGTTTGTTTTGCCAAATTTACAGACGAAGAAATACAAAAAATGGGCGTGGCTCTGCCCCTGGTGGTCAGGCATGCACCAAAAACAATAGGGATCATCCTTAGGGTATAAGGAATAAGTATGTAAAGTTTGAAGATAATCACTTAAGAATTGTGGCCTGTAGACGACACACATACAGAGACAGAGGCAATATACATAATGTGGACGTGGATCATCCTTAGGGTATAAGGAATAAGTATGTAAAGTTTGAAGATAATCACTTAAGAATTGTGGCCTGTAGACGACACACATACAGAGACAGAGGCAATATACATAATGTGGACGTATAAAAACAAGCCAACAGTGAGGCTGATGCCCCCCGCCGAAATTCCAAAATAAAAAATTGACACATATTAATTAATCGCACATTTATTTTTTTCAAAAGTATCCAGCAATCAAACCATACACTCAGTTTCACCAATCTCTATCAGATAGAATCAAGATTATCTTGTCCCAAACCATCAACAAATGAAATCGATTAGCTCTGCTTATCGTCAGCTCGATATGTTAATCATTGAACTCAGTCAAGACATTCACCTAATGAACATCTACATCAAGTTTAACAAGCCAACAGTGAGGCTGATCTCCCCCGCCGAAATCCCCAAATCTCCAGATGACACATATTAATTAATCGCACATCTATTTTTTTAAAAGTATCAAGCAATCAAACTAATTATCAACTATACACAAAGTTTCATCACTCTCTATCAGATAGAATCAAAGTTATCTTGTCCCAAAGCATCGACCAAGGAAATTGCTTATCTCTGCTTAGCTTTAGCTCGATATGTTAATCATTGAACTCAGTCAAGGCGAACATCTACATCAAGTCTAAAAATTCTAACTCAATTAGAAGCAGAGTTGTTATGTTCCAAAGTCTTGACCAATCAAAATGCTTATTGCTCCTTAGCCTAAGCAGACAATTCTCATCATCGAACTGAGTCAAGGTATTGATGTAATGAAACTATACACCAAGTTTCATCACTCTCACTTAATTAGAACTAAAGTTATCGTGTCCCAAAGCATTAACCAATCAAATTGCTTATCTCTGTTTACCCAAAGCCGAAAATGCTCATCTTCGCACTCCATCAAGGCATTGACTTAATAAACACCTACACCAAGTTTGAACATTCTGGCTCAATTAGAAGAAGAGTTATTATTAACCAAAATCATATTAAATACTTTTCACCAAATCTGGAAGGTAAATCAAACCATTGTGCATAAATACACATGTACATTCCTTACTGTGGTATAATTCCATGAGTATATAAAATCAATCTAAACCAAGATATATTTGTTAAGCAGAACAAAAATCTTTATTTTCACATCTAAATTTGGTCAAATTTTCAATATTTAGTATAATTTTTGAACCAGAAACTGGACCTCAACCGTTACTCATCTTGTTCTTCATGAGGACGACACTTTTCCCCAAAATCCTAAGACTCCGCCAATTAATATGCGATCAACAAAAAACTTGGAATGCTTGTTTCTTGACAGACTTTGATTTTGAATATGATGTCACAATTCCGAGACAGTGTGACCAATATGACTATTTCCACTATTACATATTTTCTTCACTTGGCCCTTCTTGGAGTCTCGTTTGACATTTAATGGTACGTTTATCACCATCACGCCATCTTAATGTGTTAATCTTAAAGAAAAGATAATTTTGGACGAAATTAAAATCTACAGTTGAAGAGCTCAAAACATAACCCCATGCATAATCAGAGAGTATTGTGGGAAGCCATAGAAATCCGAACATATAAACCTAAAATGAATAAAGACAATAAAGAGCTATTTCAAATGTATGGAATGAATGACGTATTATCTTAATGCAGTTAGTGATGAGGCCCTCCTTTATAATTTAAAGTTACAATTTCATATTTTTAAGTTATATTTTTAAAATGTATTAAAATAAAGCCCTAAAAAAGATGTTATATATAAACAGTCCTACCTTGTTAAAGAATAGTCCTGTTAATCCTATAATTCACTATTGCCAGTTGAGAAATTGGCAAAAATATCATTTTCAACTACAAATTCAAATGTTTGAAGATAGCTATTCCATGGTGGGGAATAGAAAAACAAGGGAGGTAACTGGGAGATAATTGTGTTATTATTTCTGGTGTAAATGAGTTTTAAGTGTGAGAATGACACCTATGACCCTATAATAGTGAGTTGACAACCTATTGAGCAAAAGACATAGAAATAATTATGCTTTGACTTTATTAGAAAATATGAAATTCTCGCTTTAATCAGTGAAAATAAATTTAGTAAGTGATATGTTGAAGAAATGTTGAATCTATGCGTGGGGATATGCTTTGAGTTATAAGTTGTAAGCTTATGATCATAAGGAAGGAGGGGAGTGGGAACAACCTAATCAATTATGCCTAATATATAAAAATTAGTTAAAGACACATTATGTAAGATTTAGATAAAGAGCTAGCCATTCTTGCTGTAATAGTCGAAAATAGATAATGTAAAATGAATAATTTGGAAATTTCATTCAAATTACTCTATTGCGAGCGAAGATATTAGCCTTTGAAGGTTTGACAAGACGTGTGCTGTAAGTTCAACCACCATACTGGTTGTTAAAGTTAAGTCTCGCTTCTCCCTTTTAGCTTAAATCAAAATATGGCTGAACTGTTCTAATCTATTTAATATCAGAGAAATCTGATGCCATTGAGAGTTGATTATGGCCTGGATAAGTTAATTAATGTCTAATTAATAATTTAGAAAACATTTTGGTCCTAAAGAAAGACCTGAAATAGGCAGATTTAAATCTTGCATAATGTATGTTTAAGATTTCCATTTTATTAAGAAGACATGCTTAAAGATACAAATTAATTTATTTGTGTAGTAAAGTTGTATTGGTTGTAGGATTATATTTTAAGCCTAGGTGGTGGTTTCGGTCCACATGTTAATCTGTTATAAATAAGAGAGATAGCGAAGTCATATTCCATCAAAGGGAAATATTTGTTGTTATAAGACTTCATTAAGCTTTCATATTTCATATGAAAGCTTATTGTTTTTGTTAAAGATATTATTATTTATTTTTTTGTGTTTTGTCCACAAATCGGATTTCTCAAGATCTAACCATAGGATTTTTCTGAAACTTTGACCTATGCCCCCAAAAATGGGTGGTGGCTGTTGATTAAGTATATTTTCAAAACGTGAAACTTTGAACCTTTTTGACCTGTTTTAATAATTCTTTTTTCTTTGAGTACCTTCAAACATTTACTTCAAATCTGCTATTTCCAATTTTCGAAAATTAAGTCATTGACATTCCGTTCCGGAAGTAAAACCAAATTGACAACTTCTTTAATATTAGTACGATTTTCATGAAATTTGGAATGTATAAGTAGATCTCATTAATCCAACTTCAACAATATCATTAGAAATTTTCTAAGCATCTTCCCTTAGAAAAATTAAGGGACAAAGTTTTCAAAAAATCGAAAAAAAGTACGTCAGATTGCCTTGAAATTTTTGTTTCTGTACTAACTAAGAAATTACTGATGCATACACAAAATATGGAGTTTTTCGATTGAACCAGAAGTGCCACCATCTTGAAACGTGAAAAATCCCTAAGGCTTTTGCAATAATTCACTTACAGACCTTGGCAGGCATCGATATTTCTGCGCACATGCGCACGGTGTGCGCAGGCACATTTGCTTTAAAAAAACTTTTTTGCAGGCACATTTTTAAAGATGTCTGTCACGGCATAATTTATTTTTGTGTTCCGTAGTAGACCCTATCATCCCAAATTAGTTTAAAGAAAGATGTATTGGTATTTTGTTTATTTATGCTTAGAAGATGTGTAGGCCTAGGTCTATTCATTTTACAATTATTCTACGGTCTTTATATTTGTTTATTTGCCGTAAATAGGTCACCCGGACCAATTTACGGCACTCCAATGTTAAAGGTTTGAATGTCGTAATTGTCCAACACGTGCCTGCAAATTTTCTCGATGTTTCTTATTTTATTTCTTACCTGTGTTGTACTGTTGACCGTAATAATAATAATATTCGTGAGACACGTACAACAACTTTACAAACAAGTCAAATAATACAACGTGTTTTAATTATCAATATCTACATGTACCTGTTGTCATAATTCGTTGTACTCAAATAAAAGACAAACACCGTTTTAAGAATCGTTTTAATTTTTAATCTCAAAGTAATAAAGTAATATTTGAAAAAAAAACAGAGTGGGGCGGGACAATTTTATGCCCGGTCGGGTGGTGTCAAAAAGTTTTTAGATCCCTGTATCATTCATGAAAATTAAGTGAATTTGGTAAAATTTGAATATATAAATGGAAATTTGATTTGCACTGAACCAAATACAAAAGGCAGCAGATGCTCTGAAAATACACCAAGAAGAGTTTAATTTTCATAAAAGACCACGCCCCCCTCCCAAATATTTTTGGGCCTCGCTCCGCTCCCCACATATATTTTTACACCACTCACCAAATCCTGGCTACATCC